TTCCTTCAATTACACTAAGCATGCATAAAGCTATGTGAAGGCTCAAGTCTTAGTGTTACATACCCAAGTTTGTCCAGTGATCGTATAGCTTGCTAGATGAAATGCTGCAGCAGCAATTACTGATGGCAAGTATTTCAAGTAAGGATCAGCATCAATTAGAGTCAACTCTCCAAGATACTGCAAGGGAGACAAGGGAAAGTGAATCATCCCCTTCCAAAAAGACGTAGAAGAGCATTTAAGCAGCTTCATTTAGATAGGAATTTAAGCTTCTAAATCTTGCCATCAAATGGAGGAACAGCTTCTACCAGTTCCCACTTCTCTTAGCCCACAGATTTGTTCCATTGGATTACTGCTGATACTCTTTGAGAAAAAGCTTACTCATAAGTCATTTAATATGACTCATTGTCATATTAAACAGGCAATGACGCAGAAAACTTGAGAGCACGCTATACTACCACTTGTGATTCTGAGAGTCACAGAACAGCAACAGAACACAAGGATTATACCCCCAAATATTTATCTTATAGCTTCTACTGTTAGCTAGTGTCCAACACTGTTCTCATACAAGCTTTTTCAATGTATTTCATCCTTAGAGGCACCTGAAGTCAAGAAGAAAGAATCTTTGGTCTGACCTTTGCACAATGCGACAAAGGCATTCATATAGGAACTCCAGTACCTGCAATGCGGTTAGGCTTTAAGATAACATCAGCTGAGGCACTGCCTGTGCTCTGCTGAGAAACAGGCCTCTGGATGTACAGCTCAGTGCTTGAGGGGAAAAATAAAAATCCTTTCTGCCCAAGTGAGAGGGCAGGTGCATGTATGGCAATTTTAGACAGGAACATGAGAAATATGTAGCAGGGAAACAAATCCCAAACTAAAATTCAGCAGTCTTGGCCTGCTTTGAGTAAGCACTCATGTGGAGGCAGGCGGAGCACCAGACTGTAATAGTAATGGAATATCTCAAACAGCAGCAACAACACTTTTGCTTCCAGCAGTACAGAACTGCTTCTGGAGGAGCCCGCAGCATATCATGTGCACTTTTCAGATGTCTCCCAGAGAGATTACATGCTTAAATATATTAGGAGATTGAAAAGTCCAGTCTAAAAAGTCCTTTACTTCTTGTCTGTACAAATACAGCTCTTGTAAAGCGTATTAACGACAGAACTCTACAGTTCCACAGACAGAGCTAGCAAGCCTTACCATTGATAAGCTCTCAACTTTAGCATTTGTCTGCTGGTGCAGGAAATACTGAGTGAGGAACTGGTTGATCGTTGGAGCTGCCAAATCAAATGACAAAACCTTCAAAATTAAGTGCTCCATCCTCAGAACTTGCTTCTTGTTGTAGGTGTCATCTGTAATGTACACAAACTCTGCTACTTCAGGGGGGTAGATTTCCTCAAACTTCCTGCCATGAGAAACAGAAACAGTTAGGGACTAGAGAATCACGTAGCCAGCAACACTTCATGAAAACCACTGTGCTAAATTATCTTCTGACTCCCAAAGTAACTGGATACAGGGACCAAGCAAGTTTGTTGCACTCAGTTTGGTAGGTTTTGAATCAGCTGAATTTGAAGTTAGAGTTTCAACATTCTGTTATTTGGGGATTAAGTAATTTAGGACTTAAGAGTTGCTGAAATTCCAGAAGAAAACCAAGTTGTCTTTTCATACACTTTCTTACTATTGCCTTAATTACTGTTGAGAAGCCTTTCACTCCTGCATCCGGAAATCTTCACGTTAAGCCAATCTAGAAAGACAGCCTGCAATCTCACCTGCAAAGTTTCACGTGGACTGCCACACTTTTATATTTTTTAACCTATTATGAAGCCCTTGCTAGACAATACAACTACAGACTTATCTTATGAAAGCTATGTGATTTCCAGTAGTATGAAACCAGCAGGTGGAATTTTCAATCAAGAAATTTCACTTACGATGCAAGCAACATGGCTGCGGTACCCACAAGCTGAAGCTTTCCTCTCAAAACAGACATTGAAGAAAGAAACCTGTCAATGTAATTTACAGCTAAGTGCAGAGTTTCATTCTGGAGCTTGTACTCTTCTCCAACTTCCACCAGCCAGTCCACCAGAATAGCCCGCATGTTGTTGGTGATGTCAGGCTGCTTCTTCATGTAGCCTATTTTAGGCTTGCATTTTACCTGCAGGTTCAGATGACAGACAAGACTGAGTTTGGACTGGATGCCTGTAGGGAAGCAGTCACTCACGCTCAATTTACCATATCTAGATTATTTTTAAGTGGTCACAAATAAGCAACAGTAAATCTGGACTCAGAAAGCTACATTCTCATCATCTTCTTTGCAGCTTGCACTCCGTGCAGAGCACAGCCAACCTCCCAACAGGAAGCAGGGGGACTGACTTATTCCTAGCTTTACCTCAGTCACTGCAGCAGTAACTTATCCTCAGATGCACTCAGCCCAAATAAGCAAACACGAGAACAGGTGGTACCTCACCTCCATTTCCCTGAGGTACGTGTGGATATCGCTGACATAGTCTGGTACATTGTTAACGTTTGGTCTCTCTTCTGCTTCTGAAGTGATGGAGATATCCATAATACTCGGGGAATCTAGGAGGAAGGCAAGGGCCGCGATAACACGGGGCCCGGCAGAACCCCCCACCGGCTGGGGCGATGCTGCTGGCCGGCGGGCGGCCATCCGGGAGCCGAGCAGGCCGTGGGGAAGCCGAGGCACGGCTCAAGAGCAGGAAGCGGCCCACTCTCCCCACTAAGCGGCCCTTCCCCAGACGCCTGACGCACGCCGCGCTCCATAGTCCCGTCCCGCTCCCCAATCCCATCCTGACTCCCCAGTCCCGTCCCGCAGCCGCAGGCCGGCCCGCTGCAGGCGCCGCATTCCGCAAGCCGGGCGCTCGCCCCGGGCGCCGAGGGGGGCAGGGCCGCTGCTTACCGAGGCTGAGCTCCATGGCGTTGCCCAGGGGCGCCAGGGGCCGCCGCTCCCCCAGGGTCCCGAGGGCGGCCCGCAGCCCCGGCGCGTCCGCCGCCGCGTCCTCATCCCGCTCCTTCTTCCTCTGGGGCCGCCGCCGCTCCCCGTCGGGCTCGTCCACGTAGACGCTGAAGGGTTGCTGCTGCAGCGGCTGCTGCTGCCCCGCCGCCGCGCCGCGGCTCTCTCCGTTCCGCGCCGCCTGCGGAAGCGGTCCGTCAGCGCGCCGTGACAGCCGCCCTGACAGCCGCCCGCCGCCCCAAGATGGCGCCCGCCCGTCCGCCGCCCCCCGCGCCTCGCCGCTCACCTGCGGCGCCAGCCCCGGCCGCGCCGGGCCGCCCCGCAGCAGCCCCAGCGCCACGCGGGTGCCGGCGGCTGGCGGCGGGGCTTTGGCGGCCGGAGGGACGTTCTCCTGGTTCTCCTGCTCCGCCAGCATGGTGGCGGCCGGGGTTGGGGAGGAAGAGAAGCGGGGAAGGGGAAAGAGCCGGGGGCGGCCGCGGAGCGCGGGGACGCGGATGGGCGGCTCGTGCCGGCGTCCCGCCGCCGCGGAGTCTCGCGCCGCGGCGCCGCTCTCTCCGTTCGAGCAGCCCGCGACTATTGAATCGCCCAATGAGCGGCGGCGGCCCGCGGCGCGTCACGCGGTTCCATGCGACGCGGCGGGCGGAGCCGAAGCGTCGCGCCGCTCCTGCGCCGCGCCCCCCGCGCACCATTTGGCCCCGCCCCACCCGTCCCCCGCCCCCGTTACCGCGCAGGCGCACCGCGCTCCTCCAGCACAAGTTGGGTTAAAACTTCAATTAAGCTTTAATTAAAAACTTACAGCTCTGAATTTCAGGCATACAGGCTTCTAAACATGCTTTTATAAAAACATCGTTCTTACATTCCTGCCCCCTTGCTCTCCGTGCATAACTTTTAACAGTACTGAAAATACATTTTGAAAAAAAGCCGGTGGTTACGGCTGTTTCTGTGTATTCGCTGGAGGTGCAAAGATCAGCTGCGTGCATAGGAACGTGTGTGCAGGCTTCACCCGGGAGCAATCTGCACGAACTGCAAGTGACTACTGCATTCAGAATAGCAATACAGAGCACACAGAGGAACAAACTGGCTTTACAAAAAAAGAGGACTTTTCCTTCCAACAAAACCTGCATGTAACCACCTCGATGTAACCAAAGAAATGAGCCAAAAAAGGACAAGCAGCAGTGTACGCTCTCTGCTCCTCGCTTCCCGCTCAGGATGCAGCCTCAAAGAATGCGATCAGCCGGTCCTGCTCACAGCCATCCAGCAGCTCCAGCAGGAGAGGAACTCTGCTCTTCACGTTGGTGCCTCGAAATTTAAATTTATCTATGAAGAGATCTGTGATCATACCTGCAAAGTTAAAATTCCAAGACTTACACTTGGCCCTATTTTCAGGAGTATCTCTGCTTTGAGCTCCTCCTTGTGTACCAACTCTTCCAGCTGGTTTGGGTTTTAGAGACAAGACTTCTTAAACTGGTGTCATGTTACAACAGCCCAGCAACCAGCTTAATTTCCACGTGGTTATTTCTGCCTCACATGTACCTATCTCTGAACTGAGAAAGGAACTGACCTCACAGAGTAGGCACTGTATGTTAAAGTTGGTGACTGGCAGGGAATCCCTGAGCTGAAAGCTATATGGGGAACACTGGAGGTTACAGAATTTCCTTCGCTAAATCAGATCTTCTCCTAAGATTCTCCCCGTCTACCCCATGTTCATTTTCCTGTTATTGTGTAACACTTCACCACTGGGAACCTCATCAGTCACCCATACATTCTTAAATTCCACTCTGAATCATGTCCCTTAATCTTGCCAAAAAAGACAAGCATTGTACAGATCTAAAAAGCTAGAGTAAAATGTACAGAAGTTCTGAAGCTACTGAGGTGTACCTACCTATCAAATCATTTCAGATCTACTAATGCTGACTTCATAACTACTTCAGTGGCATCCAGGGTGCACTCTCTGAGCATTAATTTGCAGTTAGGACAAAAAGTTTAATCAATCAACAAACCATAAAGTCTCTCAAGATGTGCAGGCTGTTTCTTGTATTCCTCAAGCAGTTGATCTGCCTCTTCCAAAATACTGCGGTATTCTGGCACCAAGAAGTCCACGTTTCCTTCCTGAACTTGTAATTCCTCAAAGATATTTTACATCATAAAAATCAAAGGCAGTTAGGTAGCTTAAGAACATAAAAGTATAAAGAAATTAAGCTTGGGTTTGACAGGAGGAAGCATTTCAGAAGCAAGACAATCCCCTTCTAAACTAGGAAGAGCTATTTTCAAAGAGCCTCTTTTAGATCTTCTAACAGAACATCAGATGCTGCTTGTCACTTCATACATTAGATTTACAAAATCCTCCACAGCTCAGCCCTTACAGAACGAAGCCTAATAAAGGCTAAAAGCCTTCACCACACTTCAGCTTTAGAATAAGGAAATTCCTAGAAAGCATAACACATTAACAGTCTGAACATAAAAGGCATCGCTATACTTAGCAAAATGTTCTACACACTCCTAAAGTGCTCCCAACAATTGTCAGATCACTGTGCTCACTGGAAGTTTTTCTGCTGATAAAAGAGGTCTAAAACCAGCATTTGATTCCACAAAAGGGCAAGGAGTCCATTTTTATCCCCCCTCTTCCCTCCAGAAAACACAACAAAAGATTACAGCAGGTTCTGGATTATAAAATCCTGGCTGTTGGAGAAATTCAAAAACTCAGACAAGCTGACAAAGTGACATCTCTCAGAGATTAACCATTGAAGAGATTAGGCAGAGATTAATTATGAATAGAGAAGCTTCAGAAACGATGACACACTGGGATGACAGTCCAAAGCAAGAAGTCTCATCTGGCATGGACCATCATATCTAGAGCTAAAACACTTTAAAAGGTTAGTGCAGAGAGATGAAGATGGAACTGGAAAATAACAGTAGCAAGAAGAACGTAAAATGGCAAAGCTGGCTGCCTTATACTGTTTGACTTATGCATCCTCAACATCTGTCAGTAATCCCACGTTATACAATAATGATACAGCACCAATAGGAATTTTCTTCAAGGAAGCTGTCTCCTAGGTAACTGAAGTACATGTCCTGGGAACAAAGATACGCAGACCGGTGTGACATGGCTCTGACTTGAGCCACAACATGAGTCTGATATCTGACAGCACAATCCCTAACAAAATCCTTCCAGGGGAGCTCAGATACTTACTCTCAAAGCATCTATTAAATGAACCTTCTTGGCCAACAGCTGCTGGTACTCTAATTTGGGGTGGATGAGCTTTAACGTATGCCTCACAGATTCTTCATTTATATCTAGTAGCAGAAAACAAAACAACACACCCCAACAAATGAATGAGCAATACGTATTCCATTTATGAGAATATAAAATGATGCAAAGGACAATAAAATAGAAAAAAAATTACCAAATGATATGTTGAGATTGATCTTCCTTTTAGTAGCCTCTTTGGAAAGTACATCTTTTAGGATGGATATTGTAGAAATATTGTCAGACTTGAAACATCCCTCACCTATTCTATAAAGGGAAAAAAACTTTGTTGAACAAACTTATGAGCACATGCAAGCATTAGATGTGTCCATGTTTTAAGAGATAAGACCTACAAATTAATGCCTTCTTTGCTGAAGGAAGATATAACTAATTAAGCCATAAACAGAGTACTGATCTTAGACACATTTAATCTAAGTTGCAGCAATAGGTTTTCAGAAAAATGCTTATTCACATTTTGTCTGCATGAATATTAAATGCTTTTCAAGTTGTTTCCATTTCTCAGTACAAAGAAAAAAAAAAAAAAACATTGGAAAGTAGAAACTAATGCTTGTCACAAAGTAATTTGACTGTATTATTTATGTTCTTCAAACTCTAGAAACAAATTGGAGAGGAACAGTAGTATGTGCATGAAAAGATATTCACAGAGCAGTTGAGAATGAAAAAGAAAAAAAAAATAATCAAAACACAGTGCTTTAGTAATCGTATTTCACCTGTAAGTACTTTCAAGCTGGGTACCCAGGAAGGTGTTTTGAAAATAAAAGGTGACACTCTCTCCAGGTGGAGTCCTTTCAGGGACTTCAGGCAAGCAAAAGACAACCCAAGAGTGAATTTCAGCAAAACTGAATTGTCCTTTGAGCATCAGTGTATTCATTGGCCTATGACAGGATGAAAGTTAAAACATAAAAAATATAAAAATCAGTATTAGTTCCAAAGGATGGACACTGATAGTGCACTGGTAACCCATATGAGAAAAAAATGTTGAGTTCCAAGTAGTTTTTTTTTCATTAACTCTGTGCATGAATTAGGTATCCCGCTAAGTAGTTGTGCAGCACAGATTACTGTTAGTTTTCCATATTTCTGAACAAAAACTTATTTGTACATTCCACTTTTATCTTATAGCAGGTGTGTCAGAAATGGGTAAGAAACTGAAGGTGTTTGACAAATACCATTTCAAGTTGTTAAACCTGAATAGTAGCTAAAAACACAGGAAATATGCCTAAGCTTGAACAGTTTCCCCTCCTGTAAACCACAAACAGGTTTTCATTTCAAGCCTCATTTCAGGCCTCATTTCAAGAATGAGGCATAAAAGAATAGAACACATTTGCATTTGGCCTTCAATTCCTTCAACTCTTCAGTTTTGTTTCAATGCAAGCAACATAACATGTTAATTAAGGACAGAGTAATCCAGTAGAAATTGCATAAAATAGATTTCAAATTCGGAGATAAGGAAGAAAAATCTTGGCTCCATTTTAGAGTCAAATTAGTTGTGGGAAAGAATTACATTAAAGGGGTAAAGGAGAGACTGAGGCTGAAACTGAAAAGGCTGCGGTTACTACCACAGCAGAGTTTCCTTTCTACCACACCCTCAGCTCTGGTAATACGTTGGACTGCTCTGTAGCCAAGGTCCGTAAAGTGAAAAATACATGGGCTCTGAAAACAGGTAAAGAGCAGCAAGGGATGTGGGAACCTGTTAAATGTGCATTTTATGTCAAACCTACAAAGCCCATAAACTCATACAGGCTCAAAAATATAGGTTAGGAATGACATGCTTAAGTCTATAGAGTAAATTTTTTTACTGGATTGTGTCAGTTTTTTTGAAAAGAAATAGGCTTTTGTTGCTGTTGCAAATACCTGTCATGGTCAATAGCATGAGTTCTCTGATGCAGAGAAAGGGGTTTAATTTGGTATTGATAAACTTGGCAGGTTTTTGGTTGAATTCTTGGAGTTACATATGCTTGAAGTGTCCCATATCGTCCTTCAATTGATCGAATCTGAAGAAGAAAACGTAGAAGCCACAAAAAAGAACAAGAGTGAACTGAATGATTTACTGAGATTTGGAGAACTTGTCATTATTCAAAATATAATAAAGAAATCTGTAGTTTTTCTGTGGTACTACAGAAGTATTTAGAGTACTATATTTATTTGATAGAACCACTGTAAAAAGAGCAGATCAAGAATGTTTTAAAACTAGGGGAAATGCTGCCTAATGAAATGCTGTAATAGTAGATGAATGGAGAATTAATTTTAAAAACCCACTAACTTACTTTCTGATTAGTTAAAATAAGAAGTCTAACTCTTCAGGACCCCATTACTGTTACTTTTTTTTTTTTTTAATAAAAATACATTAGATAGCAACCAGGGACATATCCCTAAATAAAAAACAAAGAGTCAGAGTAAGCGACCTCCTCAAGAGTCAAAATGGACACCAATAGAAATGCTTAGGAAAGGGACCCAGGAAATAAGAGTCTTAACCTTGCCCACTAGGTCCCTAACTGCCCTCATACAAAAAAAGCAACAACAAAAAAACACAAATTTCCCCACATTTGATGCATTTTATTCAGGCTTAAATATCTAACCATAATCTTTTCCTTTAAAATGTGCAGTCAACAGATATCAGGGTAGGAGGCTGCAGTGTAAGGCGATTGCATGAAAAGAAAATCTAGGGTCCAGTTTATCTTGAGGATTGACTTCAATAATCTTGATTTCTTATTTTCCCCAGTGGTAATTACAAAAATGCCTGAATGTGTTAGACTGTTAACAAGAAACCACAAAACTGAGAATAGCCATGTGCATTTATTTAGCACAAGCATAAAATTACAGGATTTGCTTCCTCCAAAATATAAATATGTGCCACATTCCCTCATCAGTGTAACTTTTTTCAAACACTTCTAAGGGAAAAAGTGCCAGTGCTTTCCTTCCCACATTTCTCTCCTTTCATTCCACGCACAGCCACCAGAATCAAGTACATTCACTACTGACGATTTCTCAACTGCTTTCATTTTAGGGGAACTCGAGGAAGGATCCCAAGGTCTCCTCTGATGTAACACGATTTTAGAAGCCTTTAGAAACCTTACACCAGTGAGAAAGGAATACTAGCTCTAGGTCAAGCAAGATTCCTTCACGTTGCAGCAAACATCCATGCAACAATTTCTTATGGAAAATAACTTAGAGCACCTTACCTTAAGTTCAAGTCTTGTAGTATTTGCTTGGCATCTGTAAGTGGCAAGGAGACAGTTGCCATTTGGCTGTGAACAGCAATAAGAGAGGAAAAATAATACAGAACAGGTCTTTTTTAACTGAAGACATGCACTGTAAAGTTGTTAGTATTTATGCACAGCTCTTTCACAGAAGTTAAAAAAAAAACAAAACAAAAATGCAGCCATCAGTTCCCTGCAATGTTCCAATTATTGTTAACTGTGTCAGAACTTAAAAACAATTCTCTACATAAATAGAAATCAACTAAGTTTCTTGTTTTCCTTAATTCCATCATAAAAATTACACAGATAGAAACTTTTCACCTCAAGAACGCATCTATCAGCCTTGCTCATTTATCTGCAAAAATAGCCTGACATCCACAAACAAAAGGGAAATGATTAAGAAAATACAAGCGGATTTTTTTTTTAATTAAATTAATGATCATGAATGGCAAGAAACTTAGAATATAAATTTAATTGATATATGCTGAAGCTTTCAGAAATGATGTGCAAATTTAGCTTTTAAGACTAAAATACTCTGAGGACCATTAAAAAGACATTATAAATATTTTCACAGTGCTAAAGTAGTTTCAAGTCTCCCATCCTACCTGCCCTTCCCAAAGAAGCACCATAAGTAATTCTACAAGTAGTTAAGTTTATAAACACTATATTAAAAAATGCAAACATATGACTTTCCAGGCAACAGAATTTTTTAATGGTCTGATTTTCCTGAGATACACTAAGGAAAGGATACGATGTTCTTCACCTAAATTACATTGAAGTAAAGAGATACTGACAAATTCAAACTACAGAACATCACTGAGCGTGCCTGCAACATTCCTAATTGGTCAAAAAAAAAGCCCTACAGCAGTAGCTCCCAAATCCCTCTATGCACAGTTGGCTTTGCCCTATGCCATGACTTGCCACTGACACCTAATTCTGTAACCTCTATTGAATCTGAGCTCTCCAGATTGCCAAATAGTTTAGTTCTATGCATTTCAAATTACAAACATATAAATCCAAATTCTATTTTGCATATACTGCATTGAGAGCTTTTCATCATGCAGTCTCCAGAAACATCATTATATCTTTTGTTTCACTTACATCAGAATCGCAGTTGCTAAAACTAACAACAGCAGAATTTTTATCCACATCCAGCAAGTCTACAGGGACATCACTCTGCAGAACAGAAGGAAAAACGTAGAGCTCAAGTTCCTGAGCAGCTTCTAATGCATTCATCTACTGTCACCAATTGTTTCAATAAGTGAGAAGCAAAGACTGCTTCATCATTTATATTCAAGTGATAAAATCTTAGTAGATAAGCATCTTACACCTGAACATTTAATCCCAGATTAACACTGTGATCTTTCTCTTATTCTCATGCAGTGTCCTGAACTCCTGTGCAGGTGGCTTACAACAACTTTAATGTAAGATGTGCAACTTTGTCTTTCAGACATGCATGAAGTATATTCACGACTGAAGCGTTTCTCTACTGTAACAAGGGGATTACAATGCTCATTCACGAAACCGAGGATCAAGTTAGAGGTCTATTAATGATTCCTTTACTAAAATTTATGCTTCTGACACAGACTACTTCTTATATAGATGTGTTTTTTGTGTAATTAAATCTAATATTGTTATGAAAACAAAATTAAAAGGCTTCTGAATGATTAATTACTTGATATGGTACTGCTTTTAATTTCACAGCAGTGGAAGGAAACACTGATAAAAATTAAGCACGCTTTCTAAAAACAAAAATAAAAAGTTTATAGATGGTTTTATTGCCTTCTCCAACAACAGAAGGAAGCCAGGCATTACAGCATATTTCTTTACAGAAAAAGCCATTTGTTCTGAACTCTACATTAAATTCAAGCCTAGGCCAACCAACTTCATTATTCCTCACTTTGCTAAAGAAACCACAGATACTACAGAGCTGCAAATTACCTGTCATTTATCTCACCTGCACCAGGATAATATCTATAGCTGCTTGCACCTCCAAGATGAGACTGTAGCTAGCATCATCTTTATTTAATGTAAACTTATCATTCACACTGAATGCAGGTATTGATGAAACAGCAGAACTGGACTGAGAAGACTGCTGATACTTTTCACGTTCTCCAAGTACTTTCATCTGTAAGTGTTCCACTTCATTCCTAGAAAAGACAAACCAGGTATAATGTTACCATAAAATTAACAGTAACAGCTACCATAGGAAATAAGTCAATTATGCTTCAAGGCAATCTTTCTTCACTTCTGTTCAGGATTTTCCAACAAGAAGTGACTGTTAATTCCCCTTCCATACCCAACACATCAAGGATAAAATACAAACTGTATCACATGAAAATGTAGATTTTACTGTACTTTCACAAAGGAAATATCCATGAGTTACAGGAGGGGGCAACGTTTTCCCTCAAGAGCACCATGTATTTTTAAAGACATGCTGGTGAAAAACTTGCCTGTCATCATTCAGAAGCTATAGGTAGCACAGGAGAAGGGAATCTTATCTTGATGAAGCCAAGGAAGAAGGAAATAAAACATAACCACTAGAAGGCAATATAGGAAAGGATTATGGAATGAGAACGCTGTTCTCATATATGTCCTTCTGTATACACTAATGATACAGAAAAATCTAATGACACAGGAAGGAAAGATGGCATTTCAGTTTGTAACGTTTCAATTCTTCCAATTCAATTTCTATCTAGTGAAATTACCTCAAGGATGAAATCTTGCTCTGCATTTCTTGACTTAGTTTTAGCTCTTCACCTGATCCACCTTCTCTATAGGCAAGTTCTGTAGTCAGTCCTGTCAGCCAGCCTAAACCAACATATGAAATTCATATTCACTACAAGCTATAAGTAAAAATCTTCCCTCAGTATTTGTATGTGTGCAACAATGTTTGTTTCAGGTACTGATTTAAGATTTAAGACTTAATTTTACCCTATCTTGGAGGACTAAGCTAGACAACAGGCATAAAATTTTATGAGTAGGCGGTCGTTCTTGTTTTACAAATTGGAAAATGTTACTTTTGTATGAAGCACTTTGTGCAATAAACACCTCTGTATCATTTTTTTTATGAGTTTTGTTTTTTCCACCTCTGCTTCTGACAAATAAGTTCTATAAATACCTTGAATAATTTGTGATTGCCAACCAGTACTACAGTTGAAAACAAAAAAAAGATGTGTAATGTGTATGCAGCACAGTACAAATTGCACAGTGCGTTTTGAGACAGAACGCTCTGGCTGAACTTATATATGTATTTTATATATATGTATTTTAACTTCTTAATTCCATTTACTTATAAAAGCAAAAATCACTTGATTGTATCCTTACGAGTAAATACCATATTCAAACAAATATTTTCACAAAGCACCCTAATTCCAATCATAGCAAAACTTTAAAGAGCTGTGCTATCAATGCAGCCTTCTTCAGTTCTATCTATCAGTATGCTATCAGTATCTACCTATTTAGACCTTACTGAGTAAATAATACAAAGTTTACCTGAATATGTGCATGCTAAAACTTCATCATAACCATCTTTTCCTACACAGCCACCCTGGATTGATGAAATGCTCTCTGATAAAACCTTCAAAACACATTCAAGCAGAGGAAAATATTACTGCACTTGTTTTACATACCTGTTTTTGGGTTTTTTATGTTGTTATTTTTGCTTGGGGGGGAGTGGGGAAAGGGGGAGGGGACTGTTACCTACATCACAACGTATCTACATAGACGCAAAATATCTAGATCCACAAGAGTAAGCTAGTTGATGACTACCACAGCTAAAGCAAGATCTTTTAACCAGTGCACTCTGAATTAACCCTGAGTAATACAGACAGTAAAATGTGGCTTAAAGGAAAACACTCTTCCAGCAAGATTTACAGTCTGTCTGAAGGATGAAATCATCACTATGGATCAAATCCACTTCCTTACTGAGCATAATTACTTTGTCTATCAGTTCTTAAAGTCGTAACAGCTACACTTACAATTTTACGTGCAAAACAAACCTCACACACTGTGATGGTGGGTTTTTTTTGTCTTGCTTTCTTTTTCCTGAGAGAGAAGCACTGTATTAGGTTTGATCCAGGAGAGACCTTAGTAAGAGCAGAGTCAAAGCTTTAACATACTCTCTGCACTGTTTTGATTTTTTGCTCTAATCAAGACCTCTGTAATGCCTGGTTCTTAAATACTTAGATACCACTTTGACGTTTGTCATCAACATTACAGAGCATATAAAATTAGAAACAAAGCCAAAAAATATATTTTAGCTGTAGTAATCATGTGAACATTTGTTACATTGAAATACGGAGTTTTTAAATTCATCTGTCCAGCAAAGAAGATGATACTGGATGTGGGCTTACATAATCATACCGAAGGACGGGATCATCTGCGCTCTCAAAGCTGTAGATTTCCAGCACTCCATCATCTCGCCCAACGAGTAACTCTTTCACTCCATCTCTCAGAATGTCAAAACTATCAATGCATAAGATACCTAATGAAAAAGAAAACAAACTGTCTACTTCATCTTTGGTTGTTTATGATGCATTAATATGAAGGCCACATTAAATTGCATAGGAAGAGATTTTTGCTGGGATTTTATGATTTTATTGATGCTATTTCTGGAAGAGTCCACTAGAGGGCTGAAGTGTCTCTCCCGTGACTAAAGTCCACTTTTTTTTCCCAGACTATTTGTCTGACCAGCTCTGCCAGCTGAAGAGGCAAGCACATTTTATCTCCTATAGCTGACAGAAAGCCAACTGGACTGCTGTGAATTTCAGCTGATGTGGCAGACGCAGGATCCTGATTTGCATCAGACCTGCCTTAGGTTTGTGCTGCTACGCAACACCTTAATGGACAAACCCACTCGTTGACTAAGATTCCCCAGATGATCTAACAGCTAACCATGGCTAGACTGGACACAGAGTTACAGTACGGAAGATGGAGAAGGAAGCAAGAGAACCTGCAAAAGAATTAAACTCATTCACATTTCATATTTGGAGTTTAGACATACCAAGAGGATTTTTAACAAAAGAGTTAAGTAATTTAATTACCTCATGAAAGCTTAGAAAAAAAAAAACATACATCACTGCTCTTCTCCATTACACAAAAGTAAGTACTAACACATGCTGCAGAAACAGCATACCAAGGCTATAGCAGGGAAAAATACTGTACTATGCCCAAACAAGTTACACCATATTATGGAGCAATAAGGAGAGCATTATTCCATCTTCAGAAAAAATTCCTTACTCTGTTTTTTTTTGTTTTTTTTTTTTTTTTTTGTTGTTTCTTTTTTTGTCTTGCAGTGTAGATGCCTGACTTTAATCTGAAGGGGCTTTAAGGTCACTGCACATCTGAAAACATCTAGCATGTATATTTGCATTTTAAAATCACCAAAATTGATGATGTACAAAGAAACTGTTTTCCAAATGGCACTTTAACATTGTACTGTAAAAATGAAAATGTACAGGAAACAACATACAGGGCAAACTGATTAGAATCACTTTTAAGAATGGAAGAGAATTAACACATTAATATCACGTATCGACAATATTAAAATACCCAAGAAATTTATTTCCTAATGATTACATTGCAACAAAGCCTCAGCTGTGCTCAAAAACTAAAGAGGGAGATACTGAGACACGTACCTCCTCTCTTTTTTTCATTGTCAATTTCCCACTTAGGTACAGATGCAGAACCAGTAATCTGGATAAGCCCCAGTTTGCCATCAGAAGTTCCATATACAATTTCTTCTCCAGAATCACCTAAAAAAAAAAAATATTCAGCAAATTCAGAATAATAAAAAGAGACATATTTAAAAGTCTTGAAAATATTCATCCCACCAGAGGAAAAAGAAAATCCTAACGTTAGTGCTGTATAACAGAACTGTCAGGCTTTGCAACAAATGCCTTCTGGCATGCTGGAACTCTGCTTGCAAACTTTTCCAGTACTTTAAATTTAGGAAAAGGCAGGCTATTTAATGGTCTTTACAGAAGAAATCATTCATTATTATTTATTCAGAACACACATCTAATTGTGAATGCTGTATTGCACCTTAAGCAAATAAGAACTGCTTCTTGAAACTAGATCTGAGAACTGTCAAATAATCTAACAGAAACTAAATTAAGCACATACTAAAGGGATTTATATCAGGTTAGAAGAGATTAGCAAAAAGGATTATCAAACTATTTTAAGTTGGATCCTTCCACAGTCTTCTGACTTGAGCTCTACTCAATATTCTCATCAATCCATGGATGGATGGAAGTAGTGATTCTACTTACAGAAATCCAGACGTAAGAGAAACCCAACCCAGCACCTGAATGGGACCCCCAACAGTCCAGCTCTCATTTACACACAAGATCACCTCACAACTCACTGCTATGTACGAGGTTTTCATTCAATGTAAACATTATTTAGAACTAAAACAGTTAAGTGCATACATGTATATATATTGTGTTTATAAACAAATAACACCTCTAAATGCATATAAACGAAAATCCGAAGCGGTTTAAAAACAAAGCTAATAACCCCTATGCTATCCCAACCTAACACTCCCATGGTTGCCCTCTCCCCAACTTTCACCTGAAATCCTACTAGCCTCTTACTCTTGCCTCACCCGTAATCTCTATCTCAGAAATAGATTTTGTGTTATTTCTGTTACTGCCAACAGGCTTTTTATCCAGTTATCCACATACAAACCTTTTCTACCATAAAACCAGCAGCAAAATCCCTTAATACTGCTAAAAGTGTTGTTTTTTTTTCCCTCCAATTTTCTAGATAGGAATAATTTAAGCAAATATCTTCAACATTTAGCCTTCCCCCCGTTCCCCCTCCTTACAGAGTTACTGGTTGTTCATTAATTCAGTATATGTACAACAAACTACCATTCCCACCATAATACAGATATTCTGTATCTATATTCTATAAATAGAATGGGTAGTAAGATATGGCTTCACAGAGTTTTCTACTACATTTTTTTAATCAGTTTCAAAATGAAGATGAAATGTAGTTAACAAATATGAGTGTTGAAATCTCAAAATGCAGCAGAAGTACGCTACTTAGTTATGTGTATATACAAAATTCTGTTACCTCCATCTCCATTGTTTAAAGCAAGAACAGTAGGTGGTCCAGGAACTTCTACTTCATACAGTAGATCAGATCCCTAGAGACAAAGAGAATTACCTTGAATGAGTTCTTGTTCAAAAGGAGAAATCAAGAATAAAGACAAAATTGTTTTTTTAATATGGACATGCTTCATTTACACAGATTTTCTTGCATAAAATCACTTCTAAGCCAGAAGAAATTTTATGTAACTAAAACATGACTTAAATCTTGCCATGTGTTACCACTTTAAAAAGTTATGACAAAATAATCTGACACTAAGAAACAATTGTGCTAAAACATTTGATATCATTCAGTATTGCTACAAAAATAATATGCAAATTTTCAAACATATGATGACTTAGATATTTCATTTCCTTATGTAAGCATTTTTAATTTGAAGTGGAAAATGGAAGAATTTCTTTACTTCCTCTATCCATGAAATCCAAAGTCTATTTGTAGTAGTAGTGTTATCGATACTAGTTTTGCAAGTTCACAATCATGATTTTCTAATTTAAAAAAGTACCAGCACTGTAGACAGTAACACTGACAAATGAGATACACTATGCTTATGCTTATTCCATAAGAATTAATCTAATGCTATGGCATCAACACATAAAACAAGCAAATATTTTAACCTGTAAAACTCTGAGGACTCTATCCTGACACGCAAGCACTGGGGTAATGCAATTCACTTTATCTATAGGAAGGCAGAGAACATCATTGATTTTATCTCTTGATAGGTAGTAGTGCTTGTCTTTGCAGTCGCAGTAGTGGTTATAGATATAACTTGCACAAAGAAAGAGATCTGCTCCTGAAATGTGCCTGAGAAAAAGAAAACACTGTAGCATTTTGCCAGAATATTTCAGTCACATCTTTTTTAGGTTAGTATACATGTGCGCTATTGCTTGCAGATTCCACACATCAGCTTTATAAGGCAAACACCTTAAACCAAGACCATACAAAAAAACCACAGAAAAATCTTCCTGATCTCCTACAGGAAGGACAGAGGGACAGAATACACTACTAAAAGCCCAATAACCCCAGTTACACTCACCTGCACATGCACTGCTGGGAAGGCCTCCAGGTTTCCCCCAAGCCTCCCCCCCCCCCCCCCCTTCCAATTGCACTGTTCCTTTCTAGATTCCTTACTACATGCAAAGGCACAATCTTAAGTTAGAGCAGCACTGAACACTGCCTACATGCATACAATAAGGTTCAAAAAAAAAACAACCCACCCAAACCATAAAAGTATAGATTGAGAATAACTTCAGGGAGATGACAAACACCAAGCACTGTACACACATAGCTTTGATGTCTTCAGTGAGGTTAGTTTCAAAGGAGAGGAACTGCTTCCCTCTTTTTGTGAAACCTCTGACTTCTGATCCCGTGGCCACAAAGACTTTCTCTTGGGGTGTGTTAAGAGCTCCTCCCAACTCCAGGCGTGCGATTTTGGGGCCAGGCAGTGTTTTGAACACCGTCTGTAAAGAAGAAAAGCAATCGCAATCATGTTTTGTGTTTACAGGCAACTTTTCGCGCAAAGGATACTAAATCTGCTTTACAACCTCCGGCAAAACTAAGGGTGCTACAGAGTGTGTAGGGACAGAAAGCGACACTGACTGCACGCCTTCCGCACTCCTAAGGAAAAAAGCTTTAAAAAGGCAGTTTTGAAGCGGCACGTTCTCACTTACCACAGGTTCCCCCTTTTTCATGCCGAAACAGGTAATCACTCCGTCCTGATCGCCCACCACCACCTTCGAAAGCAGACACAGCGTTACGTCATCGCACGGGTTTCAAACACCGCTGAGCGCAGTTCCGTACGTCGGTACGTCACGTTCCGCCAGAGGAGCCGCGAGGGCCGCGCGCGCCCCACCACCCCGTACCTTCTGGGTGGCCCTGCGGCCCGACGCGGGGAGCAGCCTCATGGTCTTCTGCGCCGTGACGCCCACCTGCAGAGGAAAGCACGGCCCTCACTCACCTCGTCCGGCCCCTCGGCCCCGAGCGCGGCCGGGAGCGGCGCGGCCCGTTACCTGCAGGTAGTCCACGCGGGCCAGGCTGACTTCCATGGCTCAGCCGGCAGCCGCCCCGCGGCGCGAGCTCGGCCGAGCGCGGCTCCGAGCTGCCGTTACCCGTCACCGCGGCAACCGTCGCCCGCGGACAGCGGCGGTCCCAGCCCACTTCCCATTGGCCGAGCTCGACGGTGAGAGGGCGGGACAGAGGCGATCTGCGCGCCGCCATTGGGCGGCGCTGCAGGGCGGAGCTGCGGCGTCGTTAGTGCCGTGAGCAACGGCCGCGGGGCCGCCCCCAGACGGGCTAGTCGGCGCCGCGCTATCAGGATGAGGCGAAGTATCAGTAAAGTCGGAATATTTTATTTAACAATGAAGCATCTGAGGCATCGAGTAACAAAATACCGGCCCTGCACAGAGTCTGAATTTTAAAAAATCATTTCTACCACATAAAGAGGAGCTTTGGACTGAGATCACGTTACCTTCAAAAGTTGTTAGAAAAAGAACAGCCAACCACCAAACCTTGCCAGAGGAAATCAATATGCTGAATTGTGAAACAGCAGCTGTGGGGAAGCGTGTGGACGTACCTGTGAGCTGCGCTCACCCTCACCTGCCCCTCCTCAGCTCCTGCCTGGGATCAGCATCACTAGAGAGGATCTGGATCTCAGGCAATCCCCCACCACTCTACCTGATTCACCACACTCTGAAAGATCCTGTTCCCACCTCGCTGCTGCAAGGAGCAGAATACTACATTGTATCTGTTCATTTCTTCTTGCAAATTCAGTTCAAAGAATTTTCAGCATGTATTCATAAACCTGTTAAAATATCAGTAATTTGTATCACTATACCCTCTTAATGCATCAATGCAAAAAAAAAAAAAATGTTTGATAGTTCTTAACTTTCAGATGTTTAAGATGAAGACAACAATGTTTTGGTGATGAGTTAATAAAATTTCCTATGACTAAATTCCAGAGAAGCTGTACATAAAGTTATTTAGTGCTAAAAATCTACAATACATTTTTCAAGTATGAGATACTGAAATATTATTGCCAATAAATAGTTGTGCTGTAGTCGAAGCCACGGTTCCTTTGTTGCATCATTCACATCTCAACATATTGGGATTGAGTTTCTCGCTGAGTTTATGTATTAAAATCGCTAATTCTTCTGTCGCCTGGGACTTGTCCTCCAAAAGTTCATAGCGAAGACTGGAGATATCTTGTTTGATTTCTTTTAATTCACCTGTATTAACCATGGAAAGAAATACTATTAGCAGAGTCTGTTAAACGTTTATTAAATAACAAGTCACATTAGTGCCTATTTCAGATGATCCCCTGATCATTCAGAACATTCATGAGAGCTGGGGAAGGGGGCAGAAGGCTTTATCTGTTCCTCATTCTCTATAAGATGCGAGTGTGTCCACCCCTGGACAGAACCAAAGGTGTTGTAAGAATCCAACAAACTCCAGTGTTGTGCTTCACACGTACACAGAACATCAAAGACTCAAAAAGCCCTCCACATAGGTTAATGAATTAATCAAGGCAACACTGCTAAACAGCTGGTAAATGTTAGTACCCCCTTGGAGAGAGAAAAGGCAAAAGAGATTTGTTTCTGAAGTGATATGCCAAGGTCACACAGGGAAAATGTGGTAGAGCTGGCAACAAAACTCACAGCTTCTGAGTCTCTCTCCTCTTCCTTACCAACATCCTTTGAATCAGAAAGAGTCAGCCAATTTAAAATTGGTACAGTTCGACACAAGGACAACAGCAACATTTAAATGGAAACAATAGGCAAGGTCAGCCTTGTAACAAGATACATCACATTTCCCAGTATAAGATACCCAGATCAAGAGTATAAGCTTTTAAAAATACTCAAATACTACTTCTGCAAGTATAAGGCATTTTAGTTCTTGCACAGAACCCACTGCAGGAAATCAGCTGTCACATACGAAAAATATGGAAGAATACCTATATTATCTAACGATTGATGCAGACAGGTTCAGGGGCTCGCCACCTTGTCCAAAGTGGACACCAGGAAGATTGGTGATAAGCAAGAACTGTGAAGTACATGAATCATGATTCCTCTGCACTTACCTAAACACATGTTGCAAATACCCAAACAGGTATCAGGGAATTGGAAAGACCTGTACACAACCCACAGTGGGGAGGTGGGGTTCTGTACCTGGAGCATGCACCTCTTACTGCAATTAGAGATGCTCCTAAGAGCCCACCAGTCCTGATGCGGACACAGTGCTCAGGTGCATCATCCCTGAAATGACCTCTGGTTGTACACTAGAACAGTGGCTACAGTTCTCACCTTTTTTTTCACCATACAGTTAACTAGGCTGGTTTTTGTTTGTTTGTTTGTTTTAAATGATATGCAACTTTGCAGATTAGTATTCCACATAGATTTATCAAAGAAGGGAATACAAGTGGTTCATGCTGTTGAGTGCAAACTGTGTGTTCAACTGAATGAAACAGAAAGACACCCTGCAGCTCTGACTAGGACTCCAAAAGCATCAATACAGTTAGTGGCTTCCTCAAAAACTTCCTCTGTGCCTGCGGGTGCATCATGTCTGCATCCCAACTCTCCTTCTGTAAATGGGGCCCATAAACTTTCTCAGTTTCTCTTTTTTGGTCCTACTTGTGCAGTTTTATTGTGCATACTTCCATTGCTATCTGACTTCAATGCACATGAAGTAGAAATAAACTCATTTTAATTGAAGGCCCCATGCACCACTGTAATACCAATTTCTAATAAATGTGACAAAAATTCTCTCTGAAATGTGAAAAAGTACAGCTTCTTACCTTCATTTACTTCATCATTTTCTTTGTCCACTTGTGCTTTCAGAACATAACGTTTTATCAGTCTTTTCATTATTTGCTGTCAGATTAAAACAGTGACATGGTTAGCATGTATAGTAAAACTTTATTCACTTCTTCTTACAAGGACAGAAAATATATAAGCAAGTGAAAGAGCAGCCCCAGATCAAGTAGTTGCCTCATATGGGCTTTTTTTGGTGGCACGCGGGGATTCATCATTACAACAAAGCATCTCTCTCACCCAATTACCTCTTAATTTACAGAACACGCTGCTGTTAGGAGAGAATAGGACAACAGGGAAATATAGAATGTTATTTTGTTTCTCTTTATACAGCTAGCAGGTGTAGACAAGAAAGGTTGGCTTCCTGTCACCAATTAGCTTTGTGAGAAGTCGTCAGACGCACCATCAGGATTTAGAGGCATACGCACACCCAATCTCAAGATTTATTACCCCCATCAAAATTAAGACAAAATTGCATTAGTTAAGGACACTGTGTTTTCTCTCCAGTGCTTTGATGCCATGACTTCAAAATGCCTTTGGCACTTATGCAGCCACCTGTATAACGACAGTTATTAACACAACACAGAATTATTACCTAAGCAAAGCCCCTAAAGACACAAAGCTAAACCTAGAAAATGCTGCTCAGTGTGGTACAGTTATGCTGATAAGGAGCCCACTCTGGGTAGCAAACCAAGACAGAATGCTGCAGCTTGGCTTGAGTATTAGCTGTGTCTGTCCTTTTTTGGCATAGGCTTTGGTGTCTTTATTCCTGCAGTTTCTATGGAACAGGCTGCCTAGAGAGGCTGCAGTATCACCATCTCCAGAGCTCTTCAAACTTGCACCTGTCAGACCCCAGGCCATCCTCACCTAAGTTAAGCAGGAGGTTGGACCAGACTACCCACGTGAGACCCTTTCAACCTCAGTATTCTATGATTCTATAAAAACATCAAAAGGTGTTTGAAAGTAATTACTCATAAGGCTGTGGCAACACATATAAAAACCACAGGCTCAGACATTTTAACCATAGAAAAAACATTTAGCTTCAGGTATTATTGTTGTTTAGTACTCAAAGTGTTGACCAATGTCCGTTCTGTTTCACAATTTCGTATTTGGAACAGTTACACTAGGACCATCATTAATCTCACTTTTCTACCAGTTTTCTAAGAGATTCCCATGCTGTCCCTCGCTTGTTACCTTGTTTTGCCATTTTCTTCAACTACTGCTGGACAGCTAAGGAAAACACAGCAAAAACATTTTGTGCCACCACTACCATAATACTTCCACTATTCAAGTGCATGAGAAGATACTGGGCAGGCAGCAGTGGGCTCAACTCATTAATAAGGGGACAAAATTTCCATTTTACTTGTTATGCACGTAGCCTTCCTACAAGGCTTTTCTAGACAAAGTGCAAGCACAGCCTTTAAGCTTTAATCTTTTATTATTTTATCACCTTTCTATCAGTCAGCATCATTACATACTGAAATATATTCCATTTGAAAGACAGTACCTTCTTTAGCTTATTTCTGTTCCTTTTCCTTAATTCTCTTCCTTTTCCTCCTCTTTTCTCATTTCTCTATACCTCACAAGCATCCTCTACCCACTATCTCCAGGGACAAAGGGGTTTTTTTTTTGCCCTTTAAACATCACTATTGATTCTGTACATCAAAGTGATTGGCAGTGAAATAACGTTGATGCTGTCAGGCTGTTAAAGCTTGTAATGAATTTCTAGTATAATGAATTCCTAACTTCTGAGGTTCCACACATATAGAGTATTGCAATTCAACATGTTACCTCATGTCACCTGCACTAAAGTAATCTTCACGCAAACTGTCAGCAAAGCAAATGCAAGATAATGTAATTTTGCACTAAGCCCTTTCTGATGCAGACCAAACTATCAAATTATTCAAATTTGCTGCAGACAGCGATGTACATAAGTATCTGTCAGAACTGATGCCAGAAGCCTGGTGTCTAAGCACAAGTAATTTAGGCATTAAGTAGCTACAAAAATAGGTCTACTCTTTGATAAACTCAGCACACATGTGAGGATTCGTCTGTAATAGCAATACATATCTACTTTCTAAAACATAGTGTTATCAAAATTAATGCAACTTGCCTTACAGAATTTGTACAGGTGGATTACGTAGCTTTCACATGTTCACTACAGGAACAAAAGCTCCTATTTACTCTTATTTCTGAACAGAAAAGAAGTCATGAAGGTAATATCTGACAGGCTCCTCTTAACAGAGAGGAAAATTCTCGTCTGTAGGAGTTTCAAACGTCACAGCACAAGAAGAAAGGAAGGAAAAAGGATGCTAACTTCATCAGCCCACTGAGCTTTCACATCTCTAGAAATCAGTTTTCAAAGTGTGCTTCTTGGATTTTCAGAACTGGGATATCAAGGCAACAACTAAGTTTTATTTGGGTTCGCTTCTTTAAATGCTTCCAAAAATCAGGCCTGAACAAGAGCAGCCTTTTTTTTTTTTCCTCAGTAGCATCCCAGAGTTTGTTTTCTACAGGAGGTTTTGTTCATCTGGAGAAGGCAATGTGTTCCTGAGAAAAGATTCTGCTAGTACATTCACACACTTCTATCGCTCAGAACAGAGACCAGGGATGTACTTACCTGATAGCGTGTCGGCTGATTGAGAATGCTGTTAAAACTGTGCGATTCAAAAACTCGGGAGTTCGACTGAGTGAAAAGGTTTAACTAGGAAGCAATAAGAAGTTCACATGTGATAGAATTCACATTCAGAAATCAGTTCAGTTTTTTTTTCCCCTTTGGATGTCTCCATAGTCACTAAATCAGAATATTATTTCCAAAAAAACACCAAGATAGGCCTGATTTTTATTTATTTGAAAAGCTGATTATTTTAGCCATGTGAAAAGTGCACTTTTCACTGCACAGCTCCAAAACAGTTGCGCTCACACAGCTGAGGAGATGAGTTACACCTTGGTGGTAGGGATAAGTGGCCACAACAAGGAGAGGATTTAACAGAGCTGCTGCACTTCTGCACTCGTAGGCATATATTTAATTACAAATACATGCTCAAAGCCATTCCTTTTAAGTAAAAAGTGTTTTGCTTAAGTACAGTTTTCAGGAATCGCAATACAGTTGGAAATATTGCTCTGGATCAGCAGATTCCACCATAAATTTATTAGGTCCCAAATAATTCACCATCTTTGTACTAGCAGGCCAGAAACAGAAGGGAAAAGAGCTACTTTGGACAAGATGCTTTTTGACTAAGGCCAAAGGTTTGCTACTACCAAATCAGAGACCCACTTCCCTCAGATATACCTAGTGTGAGTGAAGTAAAGGCATAGCCTCCTCATGTGAATCTGTCATTAGTTCACAGTTGTTTTCAGTTGGTCACTGAATTGATGATGGCTGATCTCTCTGGTGAGCAAAGGGAGCTAACTGAAGTCAGCCTGCATCTATGTAGTCAGTTGGATGCTTTCTGTAACTGACACATGTATTGCGCCTCTACACACAGCCTGTCACTTCAGCTGGTCCCCAGGTAGGGGATTTCTGCCTACTCCAGGCTGCCGCTTTCCTGCAGGCAATCAGACATACTTTTGGCTATGGATTAGGCCACAGTCTATCTTTGTGCACTGTGCAGAAGAGTGCGCCTGCTCAGCCTGACTCAGACGAGGCTCTGGGCTGCTTTTCCCACAGAAAAATAATTTGGTTTGTAGTTAAAAAATGAACAAACAAAAACCTAGCTCCACCTGATCTGCCACCAGAGACCCAGACAGAACTTTTGTTCTTTACTGAGTAACATTCTAAGCTGCTGCTGTACTATCTGTAAGCACTAAATGCTTTGTTCTGAAAGTGTATCTTAACAAAAAGTGAGTAGTTAATACCAGAATATTGCTTTTAGCTAAACTGTTTGAACCTGACATTTTAAAAACATTTATCTTCTTTCACTGCCTACAGAAACTTAGAGAAAATATTTTCTTTGCATAAAAATCAGTAGCAGAAACAGCTCAAAACATCCTAGGCTCTAGAAAAAACTTACAGGAAAGATAACTGGACTTGCCATTTCTGGGAATTTACAGTAAAGCAAATAATTTTTTTTTTCAGTCTTTGTAATATACAAGACCTAATTTAAAAAAAAAAAAAAAAGAGGATGTGGAGAAAAGGGCCATGTGCTTCTTCTTTCATCTGTTAGTGCCCCAGTAGCCATATCAGGAAAACAGAGAAATTGTTACCTAATCCTCATAAGAATGAGGTGACACTGCATTAATTAATTTTTGTAAGGAACATTTTGATACCCAAATTGAGAATGTTGTGCAAATGCTAAAGATTATGACCCCCAATCTTCCCCCCTCTTTATGTTGTCTTTTGTTGCGAACACACTTTTGACAGTAGGAAGTAAGGCATCATACTGGCCACATTTTTCCCTTACCTGCCTAATAAAACAAAAACCTCTCTCCATACCCTCAGTTGTTGTTGCGATTTTCTTTTTCTTTTTAATCATCAACTAGAAGTCTTTCTAGTTGAGGCTGAAAGCATTCAGTATTTAGGTCATTGCTTGTGGGAATTATCTGCATCTTTGAACAGTCAGTTATTTTTGTTTTACCTGTGTTTTTCCAGTCATTGGACCTTGTTGTCTTCATAAAATTTATTGCTATTATTTGCCTAAATGTACTGCATAAAACCAATCTGAATTATAGATCTGTAAATACAAGTACTTGATTTATTACTGTACTATCACCAGACGTACAGATTATACCCTAACATTTAAACAAAAGTAAACTGCTGGAATGGAAACTATTCTTGAAAACAACAAAAAATTTCAGTACCTACCCTCGATTTGGAATTGCCCATTCCCATTTCAATGTCCTTCTGTAGCCGTCTCCTCCTGCACTTAGAAAAGTTAATGATCCTCATGATGAAATAGAAAAATGATTTAGGGCTTGGTACAAGACTAAATGGTGGAGGTAATGTTTTTCCATCATCAAAATATGATAACCAAAGTTTTGAACGAGCAAACTTCCACTCCACATCACTGTCGTCCTGTTTTAAGGCACAAAAACAGATATATACTTCATTTATAGAAATGTAAAAACTTCCTCCAAAAGAAATAACTACCCTTTCTGTTTTTATATAAATATTATTTGTTTGCTATAAAGGCTGCAAAATAGTTGTGCAAAAATGTGACTATTCTATCAAGACTATTTTAAACAAATTTCAGCTGTCACTTTATGTCAACATCTCATTGTCAGTACTTAGTTCAAGCACGTGAACAATTTAAACAAATGCTATTTTTGCACCACGTGAAGGCTAACATATAAACTTGTTATTTAAAGTGGAAGTTTTTTTAAATTTAGTCGGTCACATGAACATGGTACTCAAAAAAGTGATGAAGTACTCACTGGCTTCCAAGCAGACATGGATTATAGCATTAGTATTCACAGCTTTTTACATAACCATGAGAAGTAACTGATTTATAAAGGAATACATGAAACAGAAGCTTCACTGTCATGAAGAAATCACATTATAAACTGACAAATTGTACTGAAAGGCTTAATTGGGTTAATTTCAAGGGCAAAAAGTTGCTTTAACATAAGTAGCTTTCTCCTGCTAAAGTCCCTGACACCCAAAAGTCAGTGAAGTATCATAACCAACTGTACACCATATCCTGTAACCTGCTGTGTGTGTGTGTGTGTTGGGGGTGTGTGCAGTTTGTAACTTGTGTTTGATTTATAAAAGCAGTTATCTTCCCCACTTTGAGTTTTCCCAAATTTTTAGCATTCAGTTCCAATAAACACCCTGATTATCTTCAATTTTCAAGATACTTGGTCACCCTTATGCAATTCAAATAAAATATCTCTCTTTAATCAGCAGTGCAGCCAAGAACACTGTGTGACATTCAAACATTCATTTGACCAAGCCATTTGCCAGATTTGGAGAAATCTGCATCAGTGTTTTCAGGGCATATGGCAAAGCACAGGAAACCTACAATCAAGTTCTAATAACGTACTTAAAGCAGAAAAAAACCCCAACACATTACAATCAAATCTTTTAAACACTGCAAAGTGCAACTCAGTCCTAAGTCCTGAAGATAAACACCTATATCATACTCCAAGTACAGATGCAAATAAATGTAATAAAGTGTGCACAGCAGTAGAGTAAGGACCAAAGTGTCTAACTCCTGCACAGTTAGCTAAAAAGCTCAACAAGTGGAACTGAAAGCCAGGTTTCCATTAAAGAACACATCAAAATACATTTAAACCATATCTGAGTGGTCCATCAAAGATTGAAGTGTGCTACATAAAGAAAACATGCAGCATGCACTCTAATGAAGCTAGGAATGTAGCCACGTCTAAGATCTTAAGCCCAGTAGCTTTGTTTTCTGTTTCACAGCAGTCTTCATTTGAACATAACTTTAGATTTTAAGATTTCTGGATGGATAGCGCCTCATCAGATGCATACATCTGCCTTAAGATGTAATACAGACTCTGTAAGATTTTGCAGAGATTTTCTGTTAGTTGTAGAACACGGTATTTTTTGTGATCTCCTTTACTGAGAATCAATACCTTGATCGTACTTCTGCACATCTAGGTGCAATCATTAAAATAATTCTTAATAACGTTGCCCTGTTTCAACATAGCACTACATCCAAACAGTTTTTAAACACATCCAGGGATGGTGACTCAACCTCCTCCCTGGGGAGCCTATTCCAGTGCTTAACAACCCTTTCTGTAAAGCAGTTTTTCCTGATATCCAACCTAAACTTGCTGTTGCACAACTTGAGGCCATTTCCCCTCATCCTGTCACCTGTCACCAGTGAGAAGAGACCAACCCCGCTCTCGCTGTAAGCGCCTTTCAGATATTGGAACTCAGGGACGTGATTTAGGGTAGTAAGAGTTAGGGCAGTATGGCTAGGTTGTGACTCAGTGATCTTTAAGATGTTTTCCAACCTGAGCAATTCTATGATTCTTTGATTCTATGACAGCAAAAGAGAACCATTTGAGAACAGAGTCCTACCTCGATTTCTTGATATGAACTGTTGATCATAGCAATCAGCATGTTGAGCAGAACTACCACCATCGTGACATTGTATATGCCATAGAGAACATATCCAATGTTCTCAATGAATTTATGATCATATTTCAGGACAACAGAGGTTACTTCAGACAAGCCAAATATTGACCAAAATAAGGTTTTGAAACTTTCTTCAACTCTGAGGAAGTGAGAGAACATAAATAAATAAATAAATAAATAAGGAAGCCATTATTACTAACTACACAAGCAAATACATAATCTGTGCTTACAGCAAGTGATAAAAAATCTCAAGCAATTTGTTCATGAATCAGCTTTGTAGAGAGATGATTAAAGCAAAGATATAAGGAAGTATTTTTCGTGGCATGCTCAGTTTCCCCACTGTGCTGCAACTATACATTGTAGATAACATAGGTGCAACACCAGTAAAGCATGCAAAAGAATGGTCCAGGAATTATAAAGCTATCATATTTTCAGGTTTCGAGATAAAGGATATTCTCATTATTTTCCGGTCTAATTCTGCAGGGGGCAGACCTTCCCTACTCTAACAGTGGGGCTAATGGGAAGAAAACTACTGCACTTCTTTTGACAGCTTCTGATTAAGTCTAATATGAGGAATGGTACATTCAAAAACAGGTAGCACAAAGTTCAGCAACAAAACTCAGAATCCAAACAGATTTTAATGGGATTTGTTCAAGACTGCTATTGAAATCAGTGGAAATCAGGCACTCAATAGGATGCAGGCACCTAAATACTCAAGGCTCTGGGTCCAGGACACAGTGCCTCTATACTCCTGTCTTGGTCAGGGCAACTCCTGTGCTGCCAAGGCTCTGGGACAGCTGCCAGACAGCTCTGCAGACCTTCAGGGAGTCTGAGAGCAGATTACTGTGACTCGGCATCACGAAACCTTCTGAATCGTGTTGGAAAATGACTGTTGTGCTTGGCCCACAGGTCAGATGTTTAACCCTTGCTTCTATCAGATAGGTCAGACAGATCTGCTGCTGGCATTGAAGGACAGACAACTGAGTTCGGCTTTCCATCGGTGTAATTTTGCTGCAGGTTGACTTGTCACACCATGGGGATGCAGCTCACTGCAATACACAGTCCACCTCCCTGAGAACTAGACTAACAAACGCAAGCTAAGAGACACAGATATTCATTAAAATGTTGACCCTCCCTTTAAAATGTGCCTTTTATTGTACTCTACAGAAGTTATTGGAAATAGTCACTAGAAAGCAAACTGACTGCTGTGTCCCAGGCAGCATAACAAAAATAAGCCAGTATGCATATATTGAGTTACCTGTTTTAACACTGCTAAATAATTTTATATAAAAATAATATATGAACGGGTATATTGTTTAGTAGAATCACATTGCTGTTAAAACAATTAACTATGCTAATAAGCATTCAAACATTAAGCATATTAGACATCTGATACAATGATATTTTTGTTACAATATTTCACAACTTACTTATCCAAAGAAAAGACAATGAGCTAAAGGAAAAGACATATTCAGTTTAAGAAAAAGTCACGGAATTGACCACAGAAAAATATGGAAGCGAGGTCACGTCTCCTACAGGAAGATGGAAGGAAAGGAAGACTTCTAAATTTCACCATCCTGTGCAACTACCTCCAGTTTGAAATGCCCTTAATAATTACCACTTCCTGCACTATTTTGTTTCAGGAAGTAAAATGAATAAAGAAAAGAAAAAATGGAAGCTTCAGAGATCATGGCAAACCATCACATTGTGTGAAAACAGGTTTAACTGCCATCGTTCTGTATTCATCCAACTAAAACAAAAGAAGTTAGCACATACACTGTAAGTCTGATCTGACAGAATCCAGTGCAGCTCATGAGTTGTTCAATAGAGAACTAAGAAAGAAATATGCCATCTACATAACCTGTAAGTCCCTTTCTTGAAAAACAGAAGTGTTGTTTGGAGACCTGTTACTGACACCTAGGCTCAATCTCTCAGTTTACCATATTAACTTGACAGAGCTCAGTTGAGGATTACAATTCTAGAAACAGCTTTAATGTAATTTAGGAGAAATCAGTAGTATTTCCTCGCCATCAGTTGTTCACAAGCCTGTTTGATTATCACAAAATACAGGTAAAATTATTTTATAGCGAAACAACAGTTTCCGATATACAAGTAGGAAAGAATTGGTTCTTTGTATTCCTTTTCTAAGGTTTTATCTTAACACTAGGAAGAGGGTATGTAGCTTGACAGACTGTTACCACAGTGGAAAACTGAGTTTCATAGCTGCTTTTTACTTAAACATAACTTCATACTTACGTTGTAAAGGCTGGGTTTAGCTTAGCTCCAAGATAGTAGGAATACAGTATGAACATTCCAATCATAAATGCAAGAAATACCATAATAAAAAGGACCATAAACTTGAAGATGTCTTTAACAGTCCTTCCAAGAGAAATCTGCAAGGGTCCAAAACTCTCATTCGCAGGCAGGATATACGCAATCCGAGAAAAGCTAAGAACAACAGCAATTGCATAAAGGCCTTCAGATATTATCTGAGGATCGGATGGAAGCCATTTATCTCTAGCTGGAAGATACAAAATAGAGGGGCAAACATGAAGTGTTACTCATTTATCACTGTGGTTAAAAATAAATCTTGATAAGACTTGCCATGAACATGTCTGAATTTAGTTAAAGCAAATATTTGGAGAGTCTATTCCTATTTCCTGCAAGTCACAAATGATGGATGTAAATTACCTTACTTTTTGCTAGAAGAAAAATTATACTTGGAAAAAAAAAAAAAAGGCATCATCTTCTACAATTTGTACTTCAGCCTGAACTACATTACAATAAGCAATTCTAAGTGCTTTTCTTAGCATGATTACAATATTAGCTATGTTAGTAAACACTATGCCAGAAATTTATCCATATTTTGTTACATTAATGAAAAGTGAACAGTGTTGGCTGATGAGTAATTACCACTTACTAACCACCAAAATTTTGCCATGCTAAAAATCTAGGATATAACCTAGTTCCTTCTGAGGTCATGGAGAATTTTGCCATTGACCTCAGTGGAAGGAGGACAATGATTTTTTACCCATCATATTCACAGAAACAATTGTTACGTATAGATTCATAATTTTTTAATTGCACTATTTTAGCACAACACTGCTATCTTAGTATTTGATATCAAAATACAAAGTATTTCTAAGTATGTATTTCCATATGTCCAAATTCAAATCAATTATATAGCACTTGAAGTAAACAAAGCCACTTCTACTACTGTACTATATAGGCATTCAAAAAGCATATACTAAAACATACTGTCAGGAGCAAATGCAGTCTTTAATAACATTGCAAACAGCCTCATCACATCTCTGGTTACAGTTTCTGCACTGCAACAACTATTTAGTACTTTCACTCTATTTGAACAGATTTCTGAGTCTGGCACCCTTCCTTTAGCATGAAATATTGACAGCTCTTCACACTACGAATGACGGTACTGAACAAGTGAAGTAAGCAAAAAAGAGATTCTCATCATAATTGTATCTGTTGCGCATAACATTGAGAGCAAAATATAGCTCACAAATGTTTAATATCATGACAGTGAAATTTAGCTCTGTATAAACAGTTACAACAAAAGGCAGTTAAATAGCATGCAGTTACTTGAACTTTTGTCCTTACTTAGGCCCACTGCTTGGTTTTAACATATTGGCAAACATTTGCCAAATTAGCATCGTAATGATTATAGCTAAGCGAATGAGAATGAAAAATACAGATGCAGAACTGACTAAATAACGCTATGAATACAAACACATGAAAATACTCATTTTAAGTCTTCAAATGCTACTGGCATCTTACCAGTTTCTTCATTATAAGATTTGTGTTGCAGAAAATTTAAACTCACCATAGGTAAAATATTCTATTTCTGGAGGAAGTGTGACCTCAGAGAGGTCACTCTCTTCAATGTAGTTGTCCACATACTGTTGTGCTTTTGTTGCCTGCAGGAATGCTAGAAGCCTCGCTGTGAAAGCAGCAATGAAAATGGACAACATCCCAAAATCCAAAACATTCCATAACTGCAAAATATATTCCCTGGGTCCTTCCAGCCACAGCTCTTTGCATTCTGACCACATCATACCTGCAACAAGAAATTTAAAACTATAGCAAAGTCAGCCAGAACACTTTCATTTAAATTCCATGATTTGCAGTGTCACAGGATTGTGATACACCTTGAGCAAGGCTGACTTGGTTTCAACAGGATTGATCAAACGGCAAGACAGAAATAAACACACAAGGACAGAGTTCAAACATCTCCATACAGGAAAGTAGAGAGTCATAACTTTGTTTTGAAAGCTTTATGGCCTAAGATGCTTTGTTTAAAAGAATAAAAAAGTTAAATGTGGAAAAAAAAAATCTCTCGTTTTGTTATCCCTGTTAGGGATGACAGCAAGGCACCACACCAGGTGCAATGATCTCCCTGCCCCAACAGAGACTGACAAAAAGAGAGTGCTTAAGCCAGGACATACAGGTGATTCAAAAGGCAATGTGAGGCACCTTTGTGTCCAGCCACAGTTACACTTTTCTCTTTTGCAGCCTGTAAAAGCTGAGAATGCTACGTTATTATGTGGCTACCTGATGTTTTCCTACATAAAGAATCTGACTGATGAAAAGTTAGAAGATGGCACTTTCTGCCACACAGTTTCTAACAGGCTGATATTTAATCAGGTTATGTGATGAATACTAAATAATGAGAACTGACTCATTAGTCCCTTGGTAGAAACAGTGATGCTACCAAATGCTACCTAAGCAGCAATGGTACATAAGCACTGATGTATTAGCACAGTAAGTCTGAGCAGTGAGAACTCCTGATCTTCTCATACATACAGCAACACAGTAGACTTCTTAATCCTACTTAAGTAAACCACTTCAAAGCAAAATTTCTATTGTGTTCTCTTCAGCAAGTCTGTGTTCCTGCTACAAACATCAGAATTACCAAACAGTGCAGCGAAGTCATTGCAAATCAATGGTTTTGCTCTGCACAAGAGGGGGCAGGCACAGAGATGCTTTCACTGGTTCTGATGTGTTGCTCTGCTGTGCAGGCTTACTGCAACAGCCAGAACAACGCAACAGCCGGAGTGAAGGTTTAGGACCTGGGCTTCTCTCCTTTCTTTTAAGTTCTTTCTTAACAACTGCAGATAAACAGTGACATACAGACAAAGGGGCAATATACCTACCAAGTACCCATACCATGATCAGCATTTCTGTCCAAGTGAACTGAGTAGTCTTCACCCTAAAGATCTGCTTAGGGTAATCAGTAACAGTGACATTCGGTAGCGTTGTTATACCTTCAAATCTATCAGAAGCATTGAACACCAGCAGGCCTAGGAAAATGATGAAGGATGCTGCATGTGCCACAAATTTCATAAATGGGCTTCGAAGAATTCTTCCAAGCTGCAGAGACAGAATGACAGCAGTCATATTTTTTTTGTTCAAAGTAACAAACTCTTATGTCGCAGAAGCACTGCGCTCAGTGCTCAGGACAGTCAAACGCTGCTATCAAAGGGTACTCTTCCCAATGCACTGAATTGTGATGGTTTGGCATTTCAGACAAAACTCTCCCAAAGGCAGTCACATGGGACGTGTTGCTCTGTTAGTGAACATTTATGCTACTCAACAAACTCTAGATGGCAATACTTATCGAGAAGCCCCAAGGAATTACGACTGTACAATGGCAGTCACAGAAAATACTCTCTAATGCCCACAGATTTGCCAATGAGGGGCTGGAGAACATATTTTCAGAGAAGAAAGTCCCAGATAAATAACCTGTAAATGTCTACTAAAACTAATGACTATTCCATCACAGTGGACTAAGAATGAAAATAACAGAAAAAAATGCTTTTTTCAAATAAATTAAGCTGATGCATTCAAAGTCTGCACCTGGCAGAAAGACAGAACAGCATATGTACAGGCAGTTTTTCCACAGCTCACGAGAGGAACAATTACCTCTAGAAGACCACACTGGAAAGAGCAATGAGCCTGTTGCTGTTACTCACTATTTGGAGACTGTAGGAGAAGAGGAGGCTCAGGGGAGACCTCATTGCTCTCTATAACTTCCTGAAGGGAGGTTGTAGTGAGCTGGGGGTCGGCCTCTTCTCTCGTGTCATTAGTGATAGGACCAGAGGGAATGGTTTCAAGCTACGGCAGGGGAGATTCAGGCTGGACATGAGGAAGTATTACTTTTCAGAAAGGGTGGTCAGGCACTGGAATGGACTGCCCAGGGAGGTGGTGGAGTCGCCGAGCCTGGGGGTGTTCAAGGAAAGGCTGGATGTTGTGTTGAGGGACATGGTTTAGTAGGAGCTATTGGGAATAGGTGAACGGTTGGACTGGATGATCTTTTAGGTCTTTTCCAACCTTGGTGATTCTATGATTCTATGACTGTACTGAGGTTCTCCAAAGGCCCTGTTTGGAGATCTCTGGGTAGGATTGCACAGTTGAGTTTAACTGTCCCTTTCAGACTACTTCTCTTTGGAAGGAAGGAGTTGTACCTTCAGAATATACTCCCTTCTGTGTTTCAGAATGCAAGGCTCGTTCCACCTCTACTCTATGTGTGGCAAGCTGGATGCCAGACAGACTTCTTCGACTTAGCTGCAGCACATCTCTTAATGTTAAAGGTCTTTCCCATCTCCCCCATGAGCAGAACATGCTGCTGCACACATAATGCCCCATCTTTGTTGATGTTAATATCCAGTTCTGATGTGATACATTATCACATACATTAACAAATATTATGCAGCATCCTAAAACCACATGTGAAGTGCTGCATTGTCAGCAGCGTTGTGTATTGTGTTAGAAGAAAAAGACTGAGTTCAGCAGATGGGGAACTGTAAGTAGCTTTCTTATTTCAAGGAATGGTTTTCCTGAAACCAGGGTCAACTACTGTGAACTAAGCACACGCTGTGAACTAAGACCAGCACACACTGAACTGCATTTGCTACCTGTGCAAACAATCCCAGGTTCCTTTCCTGTTCCTGACCTTTATAAAGCATTTTGAAATTACAATATCAAATAACTGATCTGAATGTACAGCACATTTATTTGACACGGGCACTGTGAAAAATGTCAGGCGTTTCTGGTACTGAGAACTAAAGCTCAAGGACAATTGTCACTTCTTCATATTAGACACTACCTAAAAAAATACTAATATATTTCTATAACATGGAGATGTGAGGAATATCTTCACTAAAGATAATCACAAAGTGATTTCAGAAAATAATTAGAATAATAATCATATTGTATCATGAAGGTTTATCTATTAATATTAATTAATTAATATATATTAATATAAATATTGAACCAAGAAGAAATACAGTTTCCCTTGAAATATGCAGGAGAGGGGCAGATTATTTTCCTTTTCGAGATAAGCTAAAAAAAGTATAAATGAGCTGAACACATTTCTCTCATTTAGCAGTCTCACTAAGGAAAGAAAACTAAAAGACCAACATTCTGCAAAAAAAAATTACGTTTTTTAAAAAATAACGTTAATGTAACTTGGAAAAATATTTTTCCTTCTGATTCAATAAGAGATATTAATGTACTTAATTTTCAAACACTTGACATGCAAAAGAATGTAAGGATTTCATTTTGATATCACCAAGAAAGCCACATTCTCCTATCATTTTCGAAGGTAAGTCTTTACATTTACAGGCTCTTATGAATATGCTCTAGCACATGGTTGAAAAACTGTTTAATTTGATTTCTATTATATGGTTCACCTGGCAAACAGACTAATAACAAATATTTTACTTAAGATTAAATTCTGCATGAATAAAATCAACAGATGTTCTGCTATTTGTTTATATGGAAGCAGCATCAGATCTTCAGTTGCTACCAAAGGAGACCAACTACAGAATCTTCTGGCCAACTGGGTGGAGATTAAAAAACAAAATGCACCATACTACCACAAATACGAGAATGTAATTACACAGCACAGATGGAATTTTGTGTTTTCTTTCTTTAAATTTCTGTAGATCATTCACCTCACACAGAAGGGCTTTTTTTTTTCTTTCTATAAACTTAACAGTATTTTCATGCTTCCTCACGTGGTCCTCTCTTTACAGCGTGAATGAAACAAGTAGCATAATTTGGCTCGAGACTACAGATAACTAAAAATATCATCAATTAGTTAAATTTGGAAGCAGCAGAATTAGAGGCACATTATTATGCTTGGAATGCCAGAAAAACAGTACCCAGAACAGTACAAGATCTGTAATTTTTAAAAGTCAGTACCCTGCTACATGGTGCAATCCAATAACCGATGGCTAGAAACGGAAGGCCCAACGCCACAACCAGCACAACCAGACACTTGATGGCTATGGTTTGCTCCCGCAGTCCTGAGAGATTTTCATACCAGATAGTCAGTAGCTGTTGCTGACAGTTTGGATGAGCCACAAACTGCAAAGAAAACAAGTAAAAATTTAACATTTTTAATGAGTGACATGACTGCTGCATAGATGATCAGCAAATCTTAAACGTTCGTGGTTAATGTAGACCTTAAAAACATGCCTTCTCCTTTCTTTTAAAAGAAATGTTAATGAAGAAGAAACTGCTGAGTTCACTAAAATAAGCACTTCGAGGACAGGGTTGCATAGGCTGAAAATATGTCTTGCCCCATTCTTAAAGCACTGTTGTATTTCCGTAGAATGAAGCCATCTGCTACATGGATAAAGACTGTACAGCCACTGCTGTTAGGATCATGTCATGTAACCAAGAGAGTGCAGAAGAAGCATAAGAGGTTGCAGGGGAGAATGCTGCAGCTCCCTATGCTCCCTTCTCATTATATTTACATTTCTGGTCAAGTCCATTTCCAAAGTACTGTCACACTCATCATTATTGCTATCACTGTAATTACCCCGTGTTCCACAAGACTGCTGCATTACAAGAGCACGTGGGGGCTTGGTTGAGCAGCAGGGTAAGGAACCTAGTAAATCACAGCCATTTGAAGCAATTGGATAACATGTTTCTCAAATGAATCAACAATTACTAGTAAATTGGAGTGAAGAATGTTAGCTGGTTTCACAAAAGGGTTTAGAAAATAATTCTGATAAATGCATGTTGGTTTAAGAGAGATTTGATTTGAGTTACTCACAGTTAAAAAAAATACTGTAAATGTTGTGTATCAATTTTATTAGGCTTTGTACTCTGCTGAGATCACAATGTACCGTATACACTGCTGTATGCCAGGTCTTGCCTGCAAAACTTTATTTATACTCCCAAAATCATTAATAAGAGCATACAGTAGTACAAGAGGGCAGACTTCTTCAAAAAAAACAAATTGAATCATTGGGAATGAAAACAGGGAACCTTAAATCTCTCAGGAGGAAGGATCTGAAGCTGTTGCATTAACTCTAAAGTGGGAAGTATCTTCATATTCTAATCCACTTTTCTTTAAAACAAAAATCCCTAAGTATTTTGATGTGCTATTTCTTAGCTAGTTAGATCACACACTGGCACAGTTTGTTGATATGATGGAATGGCCTACAGCAATAAATAAAAAAGGTCTCAAAAACCTTTCAGAAATTAGTGACAATTAAAATAATATTTTTATTCTCTCTAATAGGCTGTCACTTTTTGAGCTTGTGCACCATAAAAACTGCCAGGCTGGCTCAGAGGAAAAAGAAGCTCTTTATGTAAACTATGCATTCTGACATATGCCCCTGTCTCTTCTTTTATAGCATATATTTCATCCTCAAGTCAGGCCAAAGGACAAACATCTCAGCAGATAAACTCAGCAGATAAAGATAGGAAAGTAATCATTTCAAAATTACAAAGACTTTTTTAAAAAACAGGCTTAAACCTGTAGGGAAGACGAGAAGAATGGAACACATGCATCATATCTCCTATTGCCAGAGGGCTGCAAAAAAAAAAGGCAAAGGAGTTGTCAAGGAGCTCGCCCAAGGCTAGGAATCAGCCTGAGGGCCCCCTTACTTCTTACCCAAAGCAGTGCACTCCTTTATTTCTCTGGATCCATCAACATTCTGCAGCAATGCTAAGAGGGCATCAGTCCGTGCTGCAACTTTCCCCAGCCAAAGGGGGAGTTAGCAAGTGAAATGCCAATTGTTATGGCAAGTTCTTTGGCAATAAGTCTGAGGGCTCTTAAGATCTAAGTAATTTATTTAATTGCTGGTAATTGCACAATATGCACCACTTCCAATCCCTCACAGCAACTCATGGCATTTGTCTCATCCAGAAAACTCTGCAACTTATCCTTCTCTTTGGCATTGCTGAAATACTTGATTTTTTTTTTTTTTTTTTTAATGCATCTCCAGCCTATTCTGGTACTTTTCCTGTATATCCACCTGTTCCCAGAGTCATCTCCTAAGAAAACACACTATCTTTCACCTACCAATCACACCATCCTACAACTTCTTCCTTTCCTTCCATATTTCTCTTCTCTCAACCTACTTTCCATGCAGTCTCCAGCTTCTCATTACATATGCTGATTTCACAGTATTATCACACTTGTCTAACATATTAGGACACAGCCCAAACCCAAGCACACAAAGAGATGCACAAGGACCACATCCGATTACTAAGGAATTCCAAAATCTAATTTATCTGCTTTACAGCGCATAACTGACTACGGCTTTTCAGAGGCATTCAGTTCCATGACCATGAATCAAGTGATCAGCATGGAATTATTTTTCTGTATGACTACGAGTGATTTGAATGTTCTTTATTCCTAACATCCTAATGACTGAGTTCAGATCTGGCAGAAGCTGATCCTGGCGTAATCTGATTCACAAGCACACAACACAGAGAATTTTGAATCCTCTTTCATATCTATTAGAAACTTCAATATTTGAGAATTAAGTCATGTGATTTTACTCAAACCTTATTGATTTCACTTAGAAATTCCATTTTGATTCTCATTTCAGCAGAGCTGCAGAATTTGGCTCTTGTCAGCAACTTGTCAGCAAGTCCTCTCAAATTTTGCTGGCAGTCTGCAGACAGAGTTAAGATGCAATACTAAAAGCAATACGACAGCAACAATTCAGCAGAGAAAGCAAGAATACTTGTAATCACCTTTTCTGGGCTTGTGATCCCCTTAGACATTCACTTTGGGGCCTGCAGTTTTAGTCTGAACCTTATCTCAAAAATTAAGTTCTGTTTACAAGGATGGGCTGCCCTTTGATGCAGAGCCTAGGTATTAAGTGCAAGAGTTTCCTTAGTCATAGAAGCAAAATCTCCCTTTCCCAACAGTGAACTTCTGATTTGCTCACTTATCACGCGCTTTCTCCTGTCTCTCCTCTCCCCACAAAGGACATACGGGTCATTAATCAATTCACAGAATTGCTGCTCTGTTTTGCTGTATTATCATTCTTACAACAGCGTACTGACCTTAGCGTACCTGGTCTGGAAGCATAGCTAGAAATTCCAAAAGCTAAGAAATGTAAGCCACATCCTTGCCTGCTTCCTGAAGTTTTAGCATTCAGAGTAACCCTTGTGAAGTTCCCACATCTGATTCTGTTCTGAAGTCAGAATATCACAGCCATCTGCCACAGTTGGATAGAGCCAACCCCAGCATCAAAAGACCACCACAGCAGAGAAATGTTCTGGCTCAACCTCTGTCACGCCCTCTGCAATGGACACTTACACAGTACAGAACATGTATGTATATGGTAACAACTCTGCACCATCTGTTTATGTCCTCCCACCAAGATCATTAGTCTCATAGGTTCTGAACTGTATTTGTCAGGAACTGAAGCCAAAAGCTTGAGTTCATCTACAAATAACTAATCTCTCACAGAAGAAGAGAACAACTTTGCTACATGAAATTGTCTTTTTTGCACTGTTATTCTTAGCAGATCTGTGTGGTCCTTTGCTCAGAAATAAATTTCACTGATGACAACTCTTAGAAGAAAACCACAGTTCTCAGTAGGAAAGCAGAGCCGTGAGTTCTCAGCAAAAGTTTGCTGAGATTTTGAATTTTGAAATGCAAAAGCATAAAGAATCCATATGTTATTTAGATATGATTACATGTCCATATGCTTTGATTTTCCCCCATTCCATTCTTTTAATTAATTTCAAATATTTACTTCAAATTTTGGCAATTGATATGTATCTACCTGCTATAGAATAATTCTATATTGGAAACAGAAATTTGTTGTTTGAAATCTGTTTACCATTTCTGTCACTGCATTCTGGGGATATGATAAACATAAATATTTCCCAGATGTTCTAGCAGGTTGCTTACAATTCACTGTATATGGCAGATTGGCTCAACAGGTGGCCATGTAATAGAGTGTTATTTATTCTGAAAGACACCTGACTTCTTGGCAGAGATGATGAACCTGTAATGGCTATTAAGAACAGAAATGATGTGTCCATGTAAATAATACATAGGTGTTACAGTATTTCTTGAGTCTTATCACAGCAGGACACAATGATAACTACTTTCTGTGCTAGTGCTGTGGAAGAGAACAGCATGGCTATATAGCGAAAATTGCCACAGCAAATGGATATAATTATGTTGAATGTTTGATACTGAGCTTCATTTTTCAAGCGTAGCATTCATTCACAAAAGTAACTGTTCATTAAAAATACCTACAGGCACCAATAGAAAATACATTGCACTTTACAAACTACTGACAGATACAGGTGCATAAATGCAGAACCGAAAATAACAGATTAACTGCCTACAGACATATCCCCAACATTTTCAGGGCTGATTTTTAAAAATCTTATAGAAGGAACACGGGAAGTAAATCATTTAAGATTTCTCACTACAATACCACTTTTTATTATATCCACACAGTTGCAGATAAGCTGTTTATGTTACTGCCGTATTTTAGAATCAATGAAAGAACCATATATTTGATGGCAACTTAAATGTTCACTTTTCCTTTCAAAGTAGGAAAAAAACCACTTCTCTTTCAAAAAAAGATGTGTGTGTGCTCACTAGTAGAAAGCTGCCAGACTTTCAAAAATTTACTCTCCAGAATTTACTTTCCCTATTCAGTTATTTGAGGCAGAAAGCAGAGTAAGAGAAAAAATAAGGGATAAATCAGTCCATTGGTTTGCTGAAGCCAACTGTTCATAAAAACAATGCCTACTCAAAAGAGAAGGCTATCACAGGCTGGCAGGAAGGCACATCCTTTACTTTCACTAAGTGGAAATCTGGCTCCACCTTTTTTTTTTCTTTTTTTTTTTTTAATTTATTTAATCAAGAGAAAGATCTGAACAACCGTGTATAGTCTTGCTAGCATAACTGATTTATGTAATTAAAATCTCCTGCCAATTCTCAAAAGCGTAAAACAGATTAAACAGAACTTCTTCACTGCAGCTCCCTTCTGCCAGCTTCCACCTTGTGAGTGTTTCAATTACATGCACCATCTCATTAATGCACAACTGAGCATCAGTTCATAATACCCATGGCACAGTGAGATGACACTGTTCAGATTACATCACCCTTACTTACCTTTTTGACTTCATACTTAATGGCCAGTTTCACACGGCTCAGTGATGCTCTGTGTCTCTGCGTTTCAACTGGCTCTGAATTCAAATCCCCATTGAGGATGGCCTCCACTTCTTCTGAGTCTCGGCAGAGATCAAGAACTCCAACCACAAAATCTTTGCATTGCATAGACAGCTTACGATAGTCATTCTGAAACAGAAGGGTTAGAGAAAATGACATGTGAGGAACAGGCTTAAGAGTTAACAATACAGGAAAAAAAGAACATGCAACTTCGGGCTGTCTCCCTATAAGCAAGATTATGCATATTTTTCAAGCACGACCTTTAATCTTCTTGGTTGTTTGCATCTGTCAATATTGCAAAGACTTCAATTTATCTCCTGTCTCTACTGACAAAACATTTGTGGCTACACTTCAAAAATTTCAAAAATTTTAGCTAACCATCAAGCACTTAAATCTGAGTCTTTGTTCACACTTCTGTTTATGCTTCTATGTCTTCCATCACCTCTGCGCTGTTACCTGCAAACTCATATCTGCTATTTACCTTGGTCTGTCATCAATGGAATGTCTTCATTCATCTGTCCATGACCTCTCAGACAGATCTCTATGACTTTATCTGAGATGCAGCCTTCAATTTCCCCACAACAAGCTATAGGTGGAAGAGGAAGTTTGACTGCATCTGCTTGTCTTACCTTGTTGCATCAAGTGTTCCAGTGTCCAACTCCATTTCTGTAGCCTCCTTTTTCATTTATTCTATAGCTCTTCTCAATGTTCTCTCCCCTGCCCCAGCCATCAAAATGCCAGTCTGAGTCCTCTGTCTCTGTTTTTCCTACATTCCCTGTTCCTCAGTGAACTGTTCATTTTCATACATTATCTTTTTAAAATAATTTTCTGGGTATTAAAATTTTTCCTTTGTGGCTCTCACTTTCTCAAAAATGTTTCTCTACTGCTCTACTTCCCTGTCTTTATCATCTCTTCATTTCCTTTTTTTTTTTGCCTGTAAAACTTACCTTCCTCACCTTTGCCTAAGTATATTACTTTTCCCTGCTTTTACTGCTAGTTTTGTTGTTTTTTCATTTAGCATCTACAAAATGGGATAGAGGTACAAATACACACTCAGAAGTATCCAATTATCTTGGGGAAAGATGGGAAAAGAGGACAACTGTGGGAATCAGCTAACAATCCCATAGGTCAGATTCAGATAAGAATCCAAACGAAACACGGCTGGAGACAAGCAAATTATCAGACTAACAGCAGACTAATTATCAGATACAGCATAATGTTAGTTCAATGGGAATAAGACTGACAATCAACTTTTTCTTTAACACTTGGAAGTTGCTGTTGCCAATTCACATGACATCAGTTTCACTATTCAGCTAAAATAAACAATGTTCATTTTCACCTGAATTTGCAGTCATTCATAAATTTACACAAGAAAAATAACTCCCTGTTTTAGTATTATGTTTATCTATCCTAGGCAAAGTTTAGTTTAGATGGCTTGATATTATTCAAGTGTTTTATGAAATATCACAACCCAAATTTAGTCCCCACATGGATGAGTGTACTGTCCATTCGCAGGAAATCACCTTCACTTAAAATGCTCCTTCTCGTTCCTTTGCTAACTGCAAAGAAACATCAGGAGAAGTAGTGTGCTTCTGAGAGTGAGGGAATAACACCATTTACACAGAAGTACACCTGTTTTCTCTGTGAGCAGCCCCGCTAGTTGCTGAAGGACAGACTGCTTTGCAGGGACAACTTGCCCACTATGAGGAGTTACCTGAATTTCTACTGAGAAGTTAACAGTGCTGCAACATCTCTTCATAGGTGGATAGACCACTTTCCTATAACAGCTATGCTTATTGCTAAGCAACACTGGATATATGATGGATTAAGCTTAATTCTGTAAAGCCAAGGATTAAATATAGTCTGTATTGCTTATGGATGCTGTTTTTGAGAAGTGAAGAACAGTCTGTGCATTGCTAATATCTGATTCAGGTTTTGAATCTTAGGCTGGGAGAGCACATCAGATTTCCATCTCCGGGTCCTTACTTACATATTAGTAAAATCAAATTTCTCTCAGGATATTTGATTGCTTGATAGAATTAAACAGCCAAATGCTACCCGTACTGTAATCACGGGATCCAATTCTCTAGCAATCTTCTGTCTCTAGGGCATTGCATGAGTAGCAGAAACCAGATCCATGGTCTCAGTCACCCACACACGTCTTTGCTTTCTTGAGAAGACACTGAGAGCAAATAAAGCCACCAGATCACTCATCTCTTCCCTGCCCTAAGAAATGCCATCAGAACTCTGTCTGATACATCCAACTCCACATAGAAAAACCCTGCTACATCCTGCACACGCTGCCAATTTAATAAGGTGAAGCTATTTTTCAGGGGAATGCCAAACAAAGAATGAGGCACCAACAGACCTGATTACACAGTGGGGCTCTCAGCCTGTTTCTCATGATAACACAGGCACTCTGCCGCCCTGATCAAAGTGCCTCTTCAATTAATTCACAGCCTGACTCAGCCGGTTTTCCTTGCTATACCATCTTAAACCATCTCTTTCAAAAGCCCCTAATGGCTGCATAGGCATCTTTATCCCGTCGAAAACATCAGCCCACGGACAGTTGACACCAGAAGGTAACAGACAAATGATGAGGACTGGGACTGCAGTGCCTCTCCAGTAGTCCCATCACACATTGGCTGCTATATCTCAGCCTGTCCAAGTCTGCCTATTCTTAGCAAGAAGTGAATATTAGAGGCTATCTCATGAGCTTATGCAGGATTATGGACAAAGAAAACAGCCATCTGTGTGTAAAGAATGAAGTTTATGAATGAAAATATTACAATGATTTAATCAATAACATCTAACTATTCTGAAGAAATCTTATAACAAGCAATTACATATAGTTAGGCAAAACATATGAATCTGTTTCCTATTACACAGGAGCTGCATTTCCATAAGCTCCACAATTCATGACTATACTCACCGGCATCACTACTTCAAAGGCATTGCACACAATCACACATGCATTAAGTATTAAATGGCTGCTTTGAGATCAAATATAGCTAGACAGTTTGCATACAGAACTGTAGGAACTGTATATGCAAATCAAGCAGATAATTGCACTAACAATCATGGATCTGAGCTCTGTTGTTTAAAAGCTGGACCTAAACGTAGCTCAAGCTTGAATGCTCTTTGTTAGTTCAGCTGAGATAACACTATGTAAATTTACTTGGATCAGCGACAAATGCTGCTTTTAGATGCACGTCCATGCCTTCCACTGCTTTCAGTAGGAGTTTTAGCAAAGCTGAGAATGGGGATTTATCCTATATAAAGCAAGACAAGGACCTTTTGGATACTTGCTCCAATGGACCAAATTCTGATGTGACATGAGCTTCTGCAATTCTCGCTCACACGGTTCTCTCACACGAAACTCTATTCAGCTGAGAGGGGGGACACACGCCATTCATGTTCCCTTGTCCTGTTTCTCTCTCTGGTCACTCCAAAGAGAAGTTCCACCAGCTGTTCTATCCACTAGAAACTCTCCCATCACTGCGCAGTGACATTTTCAGAGGTCTCAAGGAAGATGGTAAGTAACAATTAACTTCAATAACTCATGGCAGCTGCAGTGGCCAGATTTGCTAAAAACAGAGTAAGAACACACAAAAATTGGGAATATTTGTATTGCAAAGTGATTTGTAGTGCTGCTGGGATTAGAAAATGCAATTGTCAAACTGTAGTAATGAATACTTCTTTACGTTAGAGAAGATACAGTTCCAGACTGAGCTTCTCTAGCCAGGCCATCAGACGCAACACAGCACATCCTGCAGTCTCCAGCCACTTAGAGATTACAGTAGAGTGGGCCTTGTCCTATCTAAAAGAAAATAATCAAACCAGCAGTTTTAATAAACCTTAAAAACATTCCCTAAACGAGCACGTTCATTATAAAGTTACTTATGAACTTCTACATCAGCAGAGTGATGTAGAATCCTAGTCTTGCATCTTAAACACAGAAATTCATGCTCATTTCTTTCTAATCATCTCTATCACACATAAAACAATCTAAGAATCTAATTTAAGAATCTAATCAGCTCCTTTCGTAGACCAATATTTAATGTGAAAGCAGTAGGTAAAGCAGAACAAAGGGTGGGTTTTTTAGGCTTTGGTAGCAGCCTTGACTTGGACAAAACAAACCAAAATTCATGACTCAATCTGACATCCTGCTGTCAACTCCTTTAATGAGGATTAGAATTACAAAAGAAAAGAAACACTGCAGTTCCTGCCCTGGCCAAAGGGGTGATATGCTGCACTAAAATAGTACCTTGCTGCTTTGACTGCCAAGCACCGATCACCTCTGATGTTCCTTTTGCCAGTTCCCAGATCTAAAGAGGAGCCACCTGCAGATACACACAAGCCAACCAGGCTTTACTAGGATTAGAAAATGCAAGAATAAATCATGAATCTAATGGGAGGATGATAGAAATTAATAAGAAAAAAAAAAAAAAGAAAGATAGATTAGAGAATAACAAAATATATATATATATATATATAAGAGCAATTAAGAAAAGAGGTGAAAAGAAGGAAATCTGAAGAGGTAAATGAATAACTGAAAAGGAGATGAGCAGAAGCAAAGAACAAAAGGGAGTAACACGATCAAGAAGAACTACAGTGAAATAGGTGAAGAATAGCAAAGGAAGCAACTGGAGCTTGGAAAATGGATTTCACAAGAGAGTAAGAGAATGAGTACAGTGGCCTTCAGGGTTCTAGTTTCCCCTACTTCTCTTTTTATTTACTCATTTTCAGTAAGTTTCCTTTGTCTATGTCTTGCATCTTCCTAGCAAAATGTGAGTTCATTCGTTTCTTCGAATTCTGTCTTGTTAGTTCTGAGGAAAAAATAGAATAGTTTTTTAATTACACTAGAGAACTTAATGCGGAGCTGACTGTCATGAATGAATATCCTAAGTTATTTTTCCACACCTTCAATGCTTTTGTGCAAACTCTGGTTAGTGAATTTGTTAGTGTAAATGCTAAGAGATAGGGGCAGACTGGACTTTGCATATGCAGAAGATGTAAAGTTCAGTTCAGCAAGCATATACTCAGAAGCTTTGTCCTCAGGCATTTTAATGCAGCTTCACCCCACATTCATTCTCTGTGGGAAATACCTAGAGAGGTATTTCCTGCTCTGCACCTAAGAAGTGCATTGCTGTAAGCATGCAGAGGAAATGCTATGGGCCTTAACGTCCCATAGGTTTTACAAATAAATAATTAATATCATTAAAAATCCTTTTAAGCAGATCTCACAACTAACTTCCATCAGCCACAAAAGCACTTTCTCCTAAACCTACCTCCATGTGAGGCTGTCAGTGCAGCATCTTGTGTAACATTCATGCTGCCAGCAGTCCAAGACACCCATGCACAGCCCCACTGGAGCACACAGCCTTGCTGTCAGCTGTCCCTTTCTGGAACCTCAGTTTGACAGTGATGCTAAAAAATTCCTCGCCTCATTTTCCTCCTTCCTCCTTTCCTATTTCCTCTCCCCCCAAGAAAGGCAACCAACAAAAGATGTCAGAGAAAAAGACGCGCCTCTGCTACCCAGCCTGAAAGAAAAGAATGAATGCTTGGACTCTCACAAGAAAGAATGAAAAGGGAGCAATGTGAGGTTAATGAGGAAAACCTCACTGGAATATTGTGGTTTTGATGAGAAGATGGAATTTCCGGGCTAGACAAGAGCCAACATCAGTTCCTACAGCAGGATCCAAAACTGAATTATCACGTACACCTATGAAGGCTAGTTATCATGTAAATACTACTTACAAACAGAGAAAATTGTGCATGTAGTGGATTTCTTGGGTTCTTATGCATCCCAAAAATGCCAACAGAGGCTGAACAGTTCAGGAAAAAAACAATACAAAACAAAACAAAAAATTACTGAAGACCAGAATACCTTTATTGTATGACAACTTAACGTTTGGAAAGTTAATTCTTTAAGTTTTACTTTGAAATAAGTCCAACCCAAACATGCATCTTCACCACCTCCAAAAGGTTGAGCTATTTGTTAGACTGAAGTTGTGTTTATGATATTAGGGCCTGAGACATGGGAGCTTACCAGAATTTTGTAACTACTGAGACTCTTCTGTTCAGTTCTAATAATCTACATCATCCCCATTAAATAAATAACTAAATACATAAATACATAAATAAATACATAAATAAATACATAAATAAATACATAAATAAATAGAGGCTTTCCATAATTTACCTTTTGAGGCCATTGTGGGCTTTACAAGTTGCATGACGCTTAAATTTAGGCCCTGAATCCAACAGTGTTCCTGTGCACAGTTTTAATAACACATGTTGCAAGCATTATCAATAAGATAGATAGACAGAGGCTGCATCCTTGACCACCAAAGCATTACTCAGAAAATTCACATATCTCCATCTTAGGTGCATGATTCTGGGACACTCTGTGGCTCTTCAGAAGTTGGCCTTGTTGAAAAGAAATCAATACTAAACCAGACTGAGCTGCACACACCAGAAATATAACCCTCTGTAATGATCTCTAAATGAGGCATGTAACTATGATTGATTCACTGTGGGAAGCACAGAAGCCAACAAGTTCAACACATCCGATGAAAATCTCAAATTCCTCAATTTTATGTTCACTAAGAGGTTCCTCAGCAGAGGATAAGAAAAATCTGACATTTTTTCTACATTGAATAAATACATTTCAGTAAATTCTCAATCCATTTGCAAAATTGCACAGTATGAGAAGGTTCCTTTAGCAAAGGAGGGAGAGAAAAGGTTTAAGCTGACTTTTGTACTTTATTAGTGAGCGATATAATACTTGAATCTTCCTCAGTGCAGCAGCTTTCTTTTTAAATTGTATTTTAACCCACTTAGCTATATCTGGAATCATTTGTTCTCCTGTGATAAAGTTCACTTTTTGCATTTCTGCCTATTCTCCTGCAAGTTGTTGCATATTTCTTCTGGGAAGAAGACCTTGCATTAGCAATGCTTGCTGTTGTTTTAAAAGATGAACACATCTCTTGCCTCTCTCAGATCGCTTATGAAGATATTAATGAAAAAAAGTGGCATCCAACACTGACTTTGCTGCGGCTAGACGTGGTGCTATTAACATCACCACTCACTGAGAATAACCTGTCACATTCCCCAGGACAAGCTTATCTTAGCACGTATAGTATTCTGCTGCTACTGGCATTGAGGTTTGTGTGTTTGGTTCCATTTTGTTGGTGGTGAGTTTTTTTTTGAGAGAGGTGCACAGAGAGGATATACTTTTCAAGGCACTAAAAAAAAATGCAAGTCCACAAACCACCACTGTACAACAGTTAACTAAGTCATTAGCTGTCCAATGGAGAAGCTGAAATACGCAGAAAAGTTGAGATACTGACAAACTAAACCAGATATATCTCTGATACAGGTAACAGCAGACATCTGTAATCAGCTTAACAGACAGTTCCGAACAAGTGACAGTTCTAAAAGGTGCATTAAAAGAACACTGCCTGCATTCTTAACAATCTGGAGACATTATTCAAAATTAGTATGAATAACAAAATGCGAATAAGGTCACTGCTGCAGTAGGCTTAATGTTTCTGCTTTCTACACCTATGCTACAAAGCATCTGTAACTAAAACACTATTTGCTACAGCAAATTGAGCTGTTTTAATCTTCTGCAAGTTTAGCAGAATACACACCATCTCTTTTTCCAGTTTTCTCCATATGCAGCAGGTACTGAAGCATTTTCATTTCACTTGAAAAATCCTTTTCAAAGACTTAAGTATTCAGAATGCAAAATCAAGAGCTATGGAGAATAAATATAAAAGCATTTGCAATTGAAAAAGTTGACACAGGAAATAATTTCAAGTATCTAAGGACATTATAAGGTAACATCAACATTAAAACAAACAACAAAGACAGAAAGAAATAGAAAACTACCATTACCTTGAATTCTTTCTCAATGTTAGCCAATTTGGCAAGCTCATTGCTGAGTTCCAGCGCAGTGAGCACAGGATCTTCACTGGAGAGGGACAGGTAAGCTGGACTGGCCAGTCCTTTGTAGGCATTTATTCTTGACCTGGAGTGACTGAAGGAATCATGCTTTTGTTTCTCTGTACAGTCGTTACATTTGCAGAAATAATCATGAGGCCTTTCTATCCTTGCTCCTTTCATCAACAGCATATGCACGACTTCGTACTTTTGGCAGTGAGCAGCTAAAATGATGGGAGTGATATCTGGAGAAAAGCGGGTGCCGTCTTCGTCGTAGGAATAAAAATCGTCATCCTGGAGCTCCTGCTCACAAGGGCTCAGAGTCAGTCGCTTATTTACTGAAAACCCAGGATGATTTAAAATTGCTTCCACTATCCTAATGTAGCCCTTGCTGATTGCAAGCAGCAGGGCATCTCCAATCCGTGCCAAGTTCTCTTTTTTTAACAGAAGTTCTGTCACTTCCAAATGTTCATTCCCTACAGCAAGCTGCAAGGCGTTTTGGCCCATGTAGTCAACACAGTTGACATTCAGTGTTTTTGACTCTTCCAGCATTTTGCGCACCACAGGTATGTTCCCATACTCTGCTGCATCTAGAAAGCGCTCTTCCTCAGCAGTGAGACTAGTGCCTCTGTTGTTGAACATGAATGCTGGGCCTCTAATGGCCTGGCGCCTTCCCTTTTCCCTCATCATAGTCATACGCCTCAGAGACGGACTTTCTTCAATGTACCTGATGGGGACAAAAATAAAAAAGTAACAAAATTTCAGTCTTGGTTATTTGTAGTTTCAAGCTCTCCTGTGGCTACAAAAATGAGCACTTACCTCATTCTGATCCTTACCATTTGCCCATCTATTACCTAGAAGCATTCTTTCTTAGGATCTTTCTGCCCTTACGGCAGGCAGTGCAAAGAAAATTTTCCTTCATCTTTGACTTATGGAAAGTATGATACAGTAAGTGTAAATATTGCCTTCTTTGAACAATCAGATTGAGTCCCTGTGGCGGATGGTATTTAATTGCTATTGATACTGTAGATGGATTTTCATTTTATATGTAATAGTGTGCTGGGAGGGATTTCTGAAGAGAAGTGACACCTGATATTAAGGGGAAAAAAAATTTTGGCCACGCCAACAAAACAGAAAGAGCCTCTGGAATTGAACCTGTGAGTGCCCCATAGACTGCGTACAGTATAGAGCCAAGCCTGATCTCATGCCCATTAGTGCTTACTATGAAGAACACTAATCAAATGTGGAAGGGTCTACTCACAAGTGAATCTGGTCACACTGGACCTCTTTGAAAAACACAAGTGCATATGTGTTCAGCAGACTTTCTGGATACTAGTAGCTAAGCTACTCAGATTCCTGACAACAGACATGATTCAGTCTAGACTGGGATGAGCTCTCCCTGTAACTGGAGTTCTGCAATGCTGTGCGCTATGCTGAGCCTACCTCTACTATACACCCTGCCATTCCAGGAGCTGAAAGGAGTATCACTGAGTCATGTTTAAAAAACAAAACAAAACAAAAAAAACACACCTGTGCCTTCTTGTAATATCAGCAAAACAGTATAAAAGCCAAATATTTAATTAATGAAAAATGGGATGGCAGGCATACAGTGAAGAAGAAACTTGGGTGTAGGAGGACAAGATTGTCTGGGAAAGGAAACAAGAAACTAACTGGAGAAGTTGTGAAGTCCCTGCAACACTGGCTGTAAAAGCAGAAAGAGGGACAAACAAGAAGGGCACAGGAGAAAAGAATGAGTGAACTAGCTAACTGAAGAAACACACACTGAAATTATAAGCTGGTAAATTAAGTCCTCTGTGTCTCCATTTCTCATCTACTGAAAAAAGAACAATTGCCTCCAATTTTACAGGAGCACTGTGAAAATTAATTCATTCATCTCAATGAAAAATTCAGACATGAGAATAAACAGCTACAGAGAAAATTAATCCATCTGCCCTCATTGCAAAAGCCAAGTAAGGTGCACCTGAAGAGATGGAGGGCATAACTAAATAGTTAAAGGTTCTTTTTAAGCAGACCCTGTCAGTCTGCAACAGAACAGAACCAAGGGAAGAAATGACACCTTGGGCATGCATAACCACCATTCAGGGAAATGCAGTGAAGCTGAAGGGCAGCTCCAAAAGTTACAAATCCTAAGTGCTGCAGGACCAAATCCACAATGTGAGCAACCTTCCCTTAAATGCAATCTTTTTTATTTTTGTGCGTGACCTTCCAGCAAAGAGCTCAGCTATGCTGCTACTACACAAAATGTAATGGTTGATATCCCTGGATTTCCCCATATATTGCCATGTCAGCCCTACTGGTTTTCACTTGGCAGACCTAATCCTATTCAGATTACAAGAATACGCCTGGTTTTCCAGCTGTCTGCATCAGTTGTAATACATTCAGCAGAACATTAAATCTTACTCACTTTATCAAAGCTACAAGCACTGTAAAAGCTAGTTTGCACACAGGGAGTTGCAGGTGACGCAGATGAGAAGTTTCACTGGAGACAGAAAACTGAATGAAGTGACTCATTACCAAAGGCAGGACTCTCCATAGCATCTGAACTCTGATATTTTCATGTGGGATCGGTATTTCTGTACTGCTAGAAGTGACCTGGGTGGCACAGGAGCATACGTTATGCTGCCTGGTACTTCTTGAAATATGTGCCAAAGCTGCTTTGCTACACACGACACATCCATTGCTTTTCAATCCCATACAACCTTCCTTCTATCTATGAAAATGTTTGTGTAGGAGATGAAATTTGCAACTGCATTAACCACGGGATTGATTTACCATGTAAAGCATAAACATATTTCATGTTTGGAAATACTCAGATGTGATGACTTTGGCCCAGAGAACACAGTGAACAGCCACACTATGCAACTGCCTTATTCCCAAAATAATCAGACATAAAGCAAGAAATACTGCCATCTTATTGTTACCTTCTAAACAAGATAACAAGATCTTACTGTCTGCTGTGCTATTAGGCTTCTGTTCCTCTTCCACATCTTAAAACATACAGCTACAGAAATGTAATTGTTCACTGTAATAGTATAAAGAAAAAAAATCAAGTATACCAAAATGAAAGACAGAACAGATTGACTCGTGCTGACTTCTTGATTAAAGAAGATTCTAAACAGTCACCTTGAATCTCATTTATCTTTTTATGAAATACATAACACATTTTCCCCCATATATTCAGGGTAATTTTTCAGTATAATTTGAAACATGTCACTTTTATTTTTTGTTTTATCTACTTGTTTCAAAACACACTGTGTGACTGAGGTGACTCATTTGACTTCTGTAAAAAGGAATATATCTTTCCAAAGGTGTTACACTAGAATGTCCATACTGAATAAGGAAAATTTCCTTCGCTATAAATCTTGTTATAGAAATGATGTATTTGAAGTGACTGCAATATCTTCTCTAAACAAAGATGAAAGTTGCTTGGTATTTTCATGACTAAAATATTGTCAAGGCCTTCTGAAAAAATAAAGTGCAAAAAGTCTTGTAGTGTGCTGACAACGTGCTGCTCTGTCAGGGTCACCCGTACCTCCCTGCGCTCCTCCTCCCCTCATGGCGCAGCAAGGCCCTGAAGGCTGAGCAGCTCCAGTCAGAGCGTTGTAAGCAGGAAGGGTCAAGTACAAGGCCACTGTGCCATTCTTTGCTCCGCTTTTCCTATAACTAAGATGTTTAAGCTATCCCAAACCATCAAGAAAATAGTCTAAATGGCTCAAAACAAACACAAACTTTTTTGGTAAAATTTAAATGCCATATTTGTCAACTTAAGTAATCAAAACAATCTCAAGTCCTATCTCTAAACATAGAATCATAGAATGGCTTGGGTTGGAAGGCACCTTTAAGATTATCTAGTTCCAGCCCCTGCTATAAGGCTGGGACACCTCCCACCAGACCAGGTTGCTCAAAGCCCCATCCAGCCTAGCCTTGAATGGTTCCAGGGAGGGGACATTCGCAGCCTCTCTGGGCCCACCTGTTGCAGTGTCTGACCACCCTCACAGTGATGAATTTCTTCTTGATACCTAGTCTGAATCTACTCTCTTCCAGTTTAAAACCATTTCCCCTCATCCTGTCACTCCATGCCCTTGCAAAAAGTCCACCCCCAGCTTTTCTGTAGGTCCCCATCAGGTACTGGAAGGCTGCTATAAGGTCTCCTTGGAGCCTTCTCTTCTCCAGGTTGAAGAACCCCAGCTCTCTCAGCCCATCCTCATAGGGGAGGTGCTCTAGCTCTCTGATCATTGTTAGACTGTCTTAAAAATGTGACTAAAATAAAAGCAAATTTGTATCATGCTCTGTTTCCTAGAGCCTTAAAGTTTATCTTCTCATCCTTGGCTCCATAAGGAGGTGACAACCTATATTAACAGAGGGAAGAAGAGATGAAAATTATGATGTTCTTCTTCACCTTTGTTCCCAATAGTTAAAAAATAAAAATAAAATAAAATAAAATAAAATAAAATCCAGAGAATGTAAGGTGAAAAAACACAGAAAAATGCCAAACAAGAAAAAGGTAGACTTACTACATGTTAATGCTGCATCAGTGGTGCACCACAACATTGTGTGAAGCTGAGCCCCTCCATCATTCTGCACCAGTACTACTCACAATTCACAGCAGGAAAACAGGGAGGGAGCTGATAAAGCCTCAAGCCTCTGTGCGTTGCTCAGCACAAATAAGAAAGATGGAACTGGAAAAGAGCAGTCACTTTAAGTGAAATAGCCCTCACCCCATCAGGGCATGTTTCCCCACCCTTAAGAAAACTCCACAAAGCAGCTGTAAAATACAAGTAAACTTGTAAAATACAAGTCTGACTTTCATATGTGCATTAAAAAACGTATTCCTTTCCCTGTTAAGCAAGCAATGCCCTTGTGTGTCCCTTGTGTCCTGCATACATCACATACGCTGTGACCTTGTACTACACTGCAGTGCTGCCTGTCACTGGAGAGTATTCTTGAAATTGACTTTACTTCCCTTGGGCAGAGTTATTTCTAAGTACAATACTAGAAACTTCAGCAGAGCAACAGCTCCTAAGGGCCATAGTATGCAGTACAAATCCTCTGCTTCTACCATGAATTACTTCAATCTGCCGTGCTAACCTCTGCTAAATCTCTTCACATTCTGGCTTTCAGAATCGTCATAGAAGGACAGAAATATGGGATGATGCATTTGAGAAGATCTGTAATCGCATCTCCCAAGTCTTTTATTTAATATATATTTATTTCTGAAAATTACGTATGAAATAATTAAAACTAGAGAGGAGTTTAAAAAAAGAAGTTTCATTCTCAGACTCCCCAAACCTATAGAGTAATTTTACACCTTTCATGCTGAAGAATAAACAGTTACTCTTCCTGAACTATTAATTGCAATAAAGGATGGCACCCACAGTTTTCAAGCACCCCACTAATAAACTGCAGTACACGAGCAGTCTTGAACCTATGGCAGCCCTGAAATGCAGCCCGGTGATTGCAGGCAGATCAGACAAGTACATCACAGAGCAGCAGCATGCCCACCTCCAAGGCAGCCACGCTGTAGTCTGCCATGCAGCACTCACACACTGTGCCTCCAGTGCTGCCAAAAGTAACCTCCGAGGTCCTGCTCTGAAATTACAGAATGACACATTGCCTTACACCCAGAATGTGCTCAAACACACACATATGTACATGCAGCATTTTAGCCCGTGACTCCCAAGATCTCTTAAACCAAGCAATCTCAAACATTTGCTTTGTTCCCATCTCAGGCAGGGCCATACAGTGCTGGACAGGTGATTCTTCCCTGACCTCTCTCAAGCAAAATCTCTGCCTGCCCTCCAAGCTCAGCTATGGGCATGGGCCAAAAGAGGCCACTACTAAATGCCTGCTTTGTTTTTTCCCCCGAAAGAAATGGTGTTACATGCATGCATGCATACTGCATCTTGAGGAAGCCCACATGTACTTCACACAATGTAGGAATCTGCACCAAAGCTAAAACGTATGAAATGACAGCTTCCTTCTCCCTTCTGGAGAGCCTAGGCAGTAGTTCATATCAGATGGAGACAGATTCAGCCCAACACAGAACATAAATCAGGCCAGCTGCAACATCTGACCCCGGTCTGTGCTCTCCCACTGCTCTGAAATGACATAATCCATCATCCAAAATGCCCTCATGTCAGCTCACAGAAGTTCTGGCACAGAGCTGGAAAGAACTACAGTCAAAAAAGGAGCAAAACACCACAAGGCATCAGGAGGAGGTATATACACACTTTGTTTGTTCGTTCCAGCCTCCTAAAAAAAACCCCAAAACTATACAGAGCTTTTCCCTACCACTGCACATCAATAACAAACGAAATACCACCTGTCTGAATCCCAGTGGAATTAAAGCACCATGTTTTGATGAGAGGATCATATTGGTGCACACAGAGAAAAAGGCAAAGGGGTCTCACCAGGAGAGAACCAAGCTCATAGGGCTGCAGCAACGCGCACGGAATTGTAAAGCTGCTTTTACACTGCCTTTCATTTGTGCCCTGGTGTTCTACTCAGGAAAAACAGCTGGGCTTTCAGAGGGCCCCAGGAAATCAGGCACACAGTGCCCACCACATTAATGTGCAATGTTAGCCCTTTTTTCCCTTCACCAGAAGGACATACGGGGCCATGTGAAACAGAAGTATTACCTCTGGCCTTCTGTCCTGCTGGAAATCCCAGGTTAATTAATTTTTCCAGCAATATTTGCACAGGAGACACACACTGACAGGTACCTTGCATGGGTTACATGCTTTTGGAAAGGATACTTCTCAAATACCAAGTGCACCTCCCTCTGCAAACCTCTCCACATCCTTTCGCCTCTATATCCTTGTAGTTTAGATCATGAATTTTTTCAGACAAGGATTCTCATGACTACTGCATGCAAGCCAAAGCCTTATGCATATCCATCTAAGTACATTATGAGCAATCTGATGCTCACTTATCTTGTTTGTAGATGCTACAGTTTTAGGCTCTAGCAAGAATCACAGTGTTACTCCAGAAAAGCCTACTGTATATGAAGATAGACAGCCCCAAGGCAGACCCAATGCCCTGCCAGTTCAAAGAGCTTCCACAGGTCCAAAAGCATATTGCTGTGCAAACTGAACTCAGTTTTAGTCCACGTTGGAGTAACATCAGTTTGCTAAAGAAAGCAGTTCCAAGGGCAGGAATCCAGAAGAGCTACCAAATTCAATTCATCTGCCTAGCTTGACCTGTCTAAAAAGTGAATGTATGAGCCTGAACTAATCTTCCAGGCTCTTTTTGTGGGGAATGAGGAGAGATGAGCACCTCAAGAAGACTGATGACGGAGGCTGTCAAGCCCACTGCCATGTCCTCTCTCATCTCACTGACTCCACACGCATCTCAGGCAAACAACTTCGGCATGAGTTTCAGGCAGCTCAAAGAAGAGAACGATCCTTTCACTCGGAGCCTGGATTGCTGGGTACAAACGTTTGCAAAGAAATTCTGCACTGGGATGGCAGAAAGCATTATTTCTGATTAAAGCAGGGCTTTGATTGTAATCGTTACTCCTGTACTTCACCGTTGTCTCTGAGGTGATTTTATTCAAGGCTTCTTCTGTAAATGCTGAATGCGTTAACTTAAAACTCAATGTGTTTGTCATTTAGTAAACAAGTTATTTAATTAATAATCAACTATTGCCCCTAAGTATCAAATGCTCAAGAAATAACCAAGGAGAGTGATACACGGGGAGTGATGTCACGGACATGACACATTCAGTCAATCAGAGAAATGAAAATTAATATTCCTATCAGTAAAACTGCATTTTTTATCCTGCAGCAAACACCAGGCAGAGCTGGGACTCAGAGACATGACGGTGTCTTTAAGAACGAGGAACAGAAACTCTCCAAGACATGACATGTAAATGGAAGAGCAGGACCTCACGCACGGATGTCTCCAGTGCAGGTGTCTCAGATCTCTGCGAGTGGCTGCCTTCAGGCACCACCCCGAGGGCTCTGAAGACACTAAGGGAAAAAAGGGCACACCGGGTTCAGCAAACCATACCTATATCAGTGACTGGATTTTCTCGGCACTTATATCAGCAGGCAGGGAACAACTCAACACACAAAGCGCATCTGGCACGCTTCTGACTACGAGCGGACTAATGTCTCAAAGCCCTACCGAGCAACTAATAAAGTTTGGCGAAGCCTCAGCCTGCGGGGATCTCAGCCGCACGTCCTACCGCAAGCGGAGACGAAAGGCCGGGCGGCGCGGCGGGGACCGCCAGGGGGCGCGGGGGGACGAGGGGCTCCGGCTTCACCCTCGGCTTCAGCCCCGCAGCCCGACGGCACGCAGCCCACAGGGTCCCGGCGGCAGAAGCTCCCGCCAGCCCCGGCTCGGGCCCCGCCTCTCCCTTCGGCCAGCCCCGGCTGCAAAACGACGGCCGGACAAGTGGTGCGCGGCGCCCGGCCCCTCCGAGCCCTGCCCCACACCTGAGCTCGGCTCGACGGGGCGGAGACGGTCCGGCAGCCGGAGGCCGGGTGCCGCAGCCCGCCCCGCGGCCGTCTTGGGGAAGTTGGCGGCCCCCGGGCCTGACTTACATGGTGCTGGCGAAGGGCGGCGGCGGGTAGTAGCCGTAGGGCTCCCGGAGGGTCTTCACGGCGCGCAGCGGCGGCGGCGGGGGCTCCAGCCCACCGTTGACGCCTCTCCAGCCGCGGCGCCGGCGCTGCCGCTCTTCTTCCTCTGCCTCCTCCTCCTCCTCCTCCTCCTCTTGCTGCTGCTGCTGCTGCTGCGGCGGGAAGGTCACTCTCCCCTGCTCCTTGCTCTTCCGGCTCTTGCTGGACATGATCGGGGTCTCCTCCGCCGGCGGCGGCGGCCGCTGCTGCTCCCGGCCGGCCTCGTCGGGCAGCGCGCGCGGCGGAGAAGGAGGCGGGAGGAGGAGGAAGAGGCGGGCGGCGCTGCCCGGCCGGGCACGGAGCGCCCAGAGGGAACGGCGGCCGCACCGCGATCCCCTCGCCGCCCCTCTGCCCTCTCCGCCCGCCGCCCGTCAGCGAGGCGGCCCGACAGCAGGAGCCGGGGAGCGCCGGCGAGCGGGGAGGCGAACGAGAGACGGGGCTCTCGGCGGCGGCTCTGCACCTCGCCTCTCCTTGTCATTATCCCTCGCTAGGGCAGCATCGCGGCGGAGCGGGGCGGCCGCCTGCCGCCGCGGGCACCCCGCCGAGGAGGGGCCGCCGCTCCCACCTGCCGGCATCGGGACCGCCCCCGCCCGGCGGCTGCCTCGGCTCAGGGGAAAGAGAAAGGAGGGGGAGAAGGAAAAGGGAGGCAGGGGATGGGCGGGGATGCCAACCGCCGTCCGCCTGCGCTCCTCGGGGGGAGCACGCGGCCGGCCGCCTTGGGCACGCGGTCCCCGAGGGCAGCGGCCGACTCTGGGGGTCGGGACGGGGCCGGCGGCGTGAGGCGGGCCGTGGGGCGCGGGGTCAGCTGGCCTCGGTGCCCGGCCCCGTCGCAGCCACGGACAGTTCATGCATGGCATTCGGAAACAGTTTCCCTCTGCTCTGGGAGCAGTTTGGTGAAGATTTTAAAGTGAAGAAAAAAATAAAGCGTATTTTGAGTGGCTTACCAAGGATGAAGGCGTCCAAGTTCCCAAAGGGTTCCAGGTGTCAGTACCTGAGAACGGCTGGTTTAATGCTGCGTGGTGTCGAGCTAAAAGCAGTGGGAGGATGTTGAGATGCCTATTGCGTGTAATCAGAAGTAATTACACTCTATAGATAACAGCCACAACGATTCTTGCTGTACAGAGATGCATTGCATCTTCTTGTGCTGAGAGATTTTGTAGTGCGATAGGGAAAATATTCCATCACAAAACTGCAGCCACAACAAAATGAAGGCAGAACATACATTTTTACATGCAGAATATGCAGAACAGTAGGTATGCAGGGACTGTGTGTTGGTTTACGTATGCAATACATCTATTCCTTTGTCCACATCCAACTGAGGTGACGTTTTTCTCTTGCTTTAAACTTTTCCTAAGCATTATGTGGTGAATTTGCCCGAATTCCAAAACTTGGATCCTACCGAAATTGAAATTTTTGAGGTGTTCCAATTGCTGCAGATGAAGTGGGCTCTAACTCGTAATACAAGTGCCTAGATAGAGCTCTCACTGCTGAGCCAGCAATGCGGGCTGTCCATACAAGGTGCTCATTACCTCATGCTTTTGGTGTCAGCCAAGGTTCTGCCTTTAATTTTTCCATACATCTAAAATTTGTACTGATGAAGCCCAGGAAAAGACAAAAAAAAAAAAAAAAAAAAACTGACCAAGAGGTTCACAGAGATAAATAACTGCTGCAGCTTTGAAAGGCTGTTTTTGTCTGTTTTGTTTGCATCTTAACTATTTAGGGAGGTGCTTTCTTGTGTCTTTTGTCATTTGAAAATCCCATTTAGTTTCAGTGGAATTACATACATGGTTGAGCAAATTTTGCTTTCTAGGAAGCTGATGTTATCATGTAGCTACTGTAGCTTTGAGCTGCTGGGAGTCTCCCATTTAGGACAATCTAGGTGTACAGCATATATATATATATATAATAACAGTATTAAATATTTTAAAGCATAAAAATGCAACAATCCATTTGCATCAAAATTTGTATTCTTGAAGGGCCCCTTTGGCTTAATAATTATAATAATACTGCCCATATTGTATTCCATTTCACAAAAAAAAAAAAAAAAGAAGAAGAAATCCTCTGTTATCACAGTGGGTTGCATGAATGGGCATTCTTTTGCCTCTAGAATTTCCCCCTAAGATCAAAATATAAAAGTAGAGCTGAAAGTAGATGAGGAATGCTTGCTTGCCAAATGTATGCTCAAAGCAAGGCCTCCACATTATCACAGCTTATTTTCTTTTCAGAAATGAATAAAAGAGTTATTTAATATCGGCTCTTAGCTGTAAGAAAGGCGCATTCCTGCTTCTTCTGTTGCTCTCTGTATTGCTGATTTGTATCAGGTGTTCCATGAGCTGTACTTTTCATGGTATGAGTGTTATCTAAACAGAAATTGGTTCGCTGTTTCTACAATCATGGTTAATGACTACAATCTATTGCATTATCCAAGCCACTACGATACTGAGCTTGGAAGTGCAGAAGCCATCTTGACACATCCCTCCATTTTAAGGGCTAATTGGCCGATAACTCTCCAAGCAATTACAATCCTATTTATAACAGTATATATTTGATCTCGTAGAACTTACACCTGAACTGTGTCTGCAGTTTGCTTTTGAGAATGCCATGTGAGATAGTGGCTTTCAAAAGACCTGTTTCAGCACTGTGACCACTGTGTAGAAAGCCACTTTCTCCGCTACACAATTCCCCAGCAAAAGGGACGTGTGACAGATCTGTCACCTCGCTGCTGTGACTGTATTCTCCTCACTGCCAGTGTTGCAGGGGAAATGATTGTCAAGTTTTTTTAGAGAGGGAAGCTTTTTGTCTTGATTCTGAAGGAAAAAGATAATAAAAAACGAACTGAGCAAACAAATAATCTTTCTCATCATAGTGTTCCAAAGCCACCAAGCCAAAATAGAATGTTCCTCATGTACGGTTAGATTAAGTACTCTTCTTCATCCTGCCCATCCTGCTTTACTTGCTGTCTGGCCACTTTTGGCCAACACTTCCTTGCATCTGAGCTCTCCAGTAACAATGGAGAAGGATTTTGGTTTTGTTTTGGTTTTTTTTTTTTGCTTTTTTGGAGGAAATCCTACCTGAAAAACAATTGGGATAGCAACAAAAGAACATATTATACATTTCAGATGTACTTTGTATGGTTTAGAAATAGTTTGTCTTTCCCACAGAAACATGTAAGAAATCAATCTCAGTCATCATAATACATTCAAACACGGTCTGAAATAGCTGCTACCAGAACACAGTATCAGAACAAGGATATGAGAATTCTTGATTAGACTTCAGCCATCACTGCCTCTTTGATGGCAGGAATGTAAGAATTGTGGTTGAGGCTCCAAAGTTCCAGAGTCAAACAAATATAATGCATTAAATGATATTTTGGAATCACCAGAACGAGTGAAGAATCTGAGTCTACTGAAAATACACCTTAGATCCAGACACGGCCAAATCCAAAAAAAGGATTTTTTTGTTTCATGAATCATTTACACATTTTTGAAAATGTTAATAATTCTGGTAGCCGTAATGTTCTGAAATCATCGTTCTTTCCCAAAATATTCAATACTATTAAAGTATTGGGTAGATGTTAACAGTGAGTGAAGTACCAGGCAGGCCAGCACAGTTCTGTCCAAGTTTCTGTTCTTTAGCTGGTCGGAGACTACAGTCAGTGGCTTCCAGTCTAATACATTTTGTGAAAGTTGACTTGAATTTATGGAGTTCTGGAATGATGATGTTGTAATTTAGAAAACCGATTCCTGGAAATTCCTTAAACAGGGAAAAAAAAAAAAAAAGAAAAAAAAAAAGTTATGCTATTGTAAGGACTGAGACTGAGTGGAAAGGCTGGAAATATTTACAGAACATAGTGAAGCATAGCAGACACAATATGGTATTACTGGAGGTGCTGTTTGGTAGGTTATTCCCCATGCTCCTGTTTGTTTAGAACATTAAATCCACAGTACTAATCCGTCAGTGTTTCATGTTCCCATTGGATCCACAGCCAGTATATAATCCCTCTGTTTTTTTAACCAGGCTGATTTGTTCATGTCAGGTTGGAGTGAGACTGGAGTGGCGTTTTGTTTGTATGGATCAACTGATCTGTGATGGAATTTTTCTGACCTCAAAATTACAAAAAATGTACAACTTTGATTTAAAAATAACTGCTGCAGTGTTCTTCAGCTGGAAATAAGTCATCAAAAATAGGATTTCTAAATTGAAGTAAGGTGTCAGCCTACAGTAATAAATTTCCTTGAAATTTATTGTTGAAAACATGAGTTCCATATTTGTCTTTCCTTTATTTAGTTAGTTAGTTAGTTAGTTTCTTTAAAGTAGGCAGTTGAATGGAGTAAAGCTCTGAAATACAAAAGCAGTTAGCACAGTTGGCATTTGATATCTGAAGTGATCAGGAAATACGTTCAGAATTTTAGGCTGAACTAGCATGTCAGCAATGTGACAAGGGATAGGGGAAAGGGTCATTTAATGAATATACTCCGGGTTTTTCATTTAGCAGAATTTTTCTGAGAGGTAATTAAAAAGTGTTAATTTTAAAATAAACATACCCTACTTATTGAGGGTGCGATTGTCAATAGTAAGACCCCCTTGTTGAAACGAAGTGATGTAGATACAGGAATAAGCAAGGTACAAGGAACTTGTAGCAACAGTTTCCCCTACAGAATAACCTTGCATGTCATACAATTATGTCACATGATTATTTTGGAGCTTTATTAAAAAGTGGGAGAATATTCTCTCAGGAGACAAAACAGCGGTTTTTATTTGCTTGAAGAGACGAGTAAAGAGAGGCACAGTAAGGCTAGAAATAGAATCCAGGTCGTGCAGTGCGCCCAACCCTTGTCTAACGTGTCTGTACTACTTTCATGAAAATTGGGAAGTTGGTGGGAATAGCAACAGTGTAATGAAAGCAAAATTGGCCTTCTTTGCCTCATACTGGGAATTTGCCTACTTGCCAAGAACCCGGTGTTTTCAAGGACATTTAGTTCCTACACCAAGGACTTCTATGGAAGTCTAAACAGGTTAATCAGCATGAGGAAAAGAGTGATGTGATGTCACTGATCTGTAAGCAGATCTCAGCCTCAGAACTAATATTGCGATTTAATGTTTTTAAAGTAGATGAAAAAATAAATTCCTGACACTCGAGGCTGTGCTTTCACACACACTGTGCAGCCATTCAGGCCCAGGCAACGTGAAGGGCTATAAAATGCTGTCAGA